TTCCTATTATTTCTCTAGTTATTTTCCTGAGTGGAGAGTAGATGGGGGAATACTTTAAAGATCCCAAAGTCACACTGTAAGGCATTCGCCCGAAAACCTCTGGAGGGTGGGGTGGGGTGGGGGAACTCCGAGACCACAACTGAGAGTCAGGCAGAACTGGATTGCAAAACGTGTGTGTGTGTGTGTGTGTGTGTGTGTGTGTGTGTGTGCAGATGAAAACGAAAGCTTTTTTAAAAATATATGTCGCATAATATTTAAGTCATCTGTAGAAAACTGGAAGTGATCTAAACGATGGGAGGCGAGAAACAAGCATCTATTAAGTGAGCAATGGCAGTAAAAGCATGACTATTTACAATGTATTCACCTTACAGAATTGCATGCCCTGTAACAAGAATGCCTGGATTGGATTCTACCTGTGCTACTTAACCTCTGTGCCACACTTTGACCAACTGTGAGAATTAAATGCCACATAAGAAGCACCCAGTAAATGTTAAAACTATTGCCCTCGTAATAGCTAGCCGTACAAGTTTTAACTAGAAACTTTACTGACATAGGTGGAGGCATAAAATGAGAAAACCTCTGCCCAAATTCCAGAAAGAATCAACTGTTAAGGTCGGGCTTGCTGCTAACAGCAGTGTGTCCCTTTATACAGGAGTCATTACAGTGTTGAGAATTTATATTAAATAAGCTGGAACATCTGAAACTTGAAATACCTTAGCTGAAGTGTAACTATTGAATTCTTACCTACTGTTAGCATATGATTGATTAGTTTTCTTAACTTTCTTTAATTTGGATGTTATCAAATTAACAGTACTTGAAACTCAATGCATTTTTATCTTAATTTGAACAGGACACTGTTATTGGGAAGATGCAGAATCCTAATTACTCAAGGAAAGATTTCAGTTTGCAAAGCAGAAATCTTGGCTAAGATGTTTTAGTTAAGGAAAAATTAGTTAATAAGTCTGGCAAAATTCAGAATACCTAGTATGATTTTTTTTTTCTCTTTTAACAGTGACTTAGGTGTCTTGTCTGGTGTAGCTTCCAGGCAGTGCCCAGATGGCTAATGCTTTTGAGTCTTGGCTTCCTTTCTTTAAGTTTAGTTAGTATCAGCTGCAAAACTTCTGGGTTCATTTACTGTGGTCCTCACGAAGACTCACTGTTATCTGGAGAACCCCCAACATGGAAAACTATTTTTTTTTTTTTGTTACAGTCTTTTGTTTTGAGAGAGAGTCTCTCTATGTATTCCAGGATGGATTTGAATTCACTGTTTCCCCAGATTAGCCAGAGATCCACTTGCCTCCACTTCCTGAATACTGCTACCATACTTGGGTGTTGCTTGTTTTGAACCTGAACCTAAAATTCTGGAATTAATCTCAAGGTTTTTGTGTGTCCCAGGCAAGCACTCTGAGCAACATCTTAGCCCAAGTTCTGGGATCTTAAGAGAGTTACCATAGTTCCCTTTTAGCCATAGTTTTGTGTCCCCCAGTTTCACTTACCTGCTGTCAATATTAAATAGAAATCCTAGAAATAATTCATGAGTTTTAGATTGTATGTCTTTCTCAGTAAAGTGTCTTGCACTGTCCTATCTGGGATATCATGTCCAGGGAGGGTACCCACTCTACCGCCCACCCATTGGTAATAGTAACCTTTTTGGTTTTTAAGTTAGTATCATAGCCTTTGTGTCACAATAAGTGCAAAAGTGGTGACAGAGGCAACTCACATGTGCCAAAGTGAAATTTTAAAGTGTTCTAAGTCAAATGATGGAAATTTTAATTGGGAAAGAAAAGCCGGAGGCTAGTTTAGTAACATCTACAGTCAATAAACTATTCCAGAGACCACATCATGGAATTTACTAAAGTATACTGTTAAAACTTGTTTTTAATCTCCCTGCTTAATTAGAAATTGATCATCATTAGTTTGTACTCTAGGAATCCTCAACTTCAGGTATTCGTAGGGGCTTAGAGTGTGCCTCCCAAGGATAAGAGGGCACCACTGTGTTCAGCTTACCTTTAAACAGATAATAAAATCACTTTGGAATCACTGTAAAATTAAATTAAGCAATTTTAAGTTCTCAGAGAGCAAAGTAAAAAGGTATGTGTATACAGGGTGAGAGCTATAGAAATCAAGATTGTAGAAGTTTTTAGGGAAGACAATCCATACATAAAAGTTGTCGTAAACACGATCTTTAACTTTTCTACTAAAAAGTAAAAGGTTTAAGTCGTATCTGACTGCCTCTGCCTGTTTATGCTGAGATTAAAGACATGCACCACCACATCTGGCTTAGATTACTAGTTTTAAAAGATATATTTTAATCCATAAAGGTTATGGGGGAAATACAAAATTGGTTATGACAGTTTTCTCGGAAGTATATCTGAGAAATTACCCTTAAAACTTTGAACAGGTAAATTTGCTGTTGATTAAAATAAAACATCCACATCTCAAGTAATGCCCTTTATAGAGAAAAATTCATATCTTGACTAATCAATCTCTAGCCCTCTGCCATGCAGTCACCATGTGTAAACAAACAGCCTTTATAAAGTAGAAATACAGAAACAATAATTTTACAGCTTTTTTCAAACCTTTATTAAAAAAAAAAACAAACTTATTTTTAGTTATTTGTAGATATGTGTGTCTTGTTTGTGGTTTATGCACATGAGTGTAATCCCCACAGATTTCAGAAAGGGATGTGACATCCCCTGGAGCTAGAGTTGCAGGTGTTATGTGTTCACATGGGTGTTGGGAACTGAACTCTCTGGTCCTCTGCATAAGCAGTATGTATTCTTAACTACTGCACAAACTCTCCAGCCTTGTAACCTTTACCTTAATAGAGAATACAATCTACTTTTGTAACGTGATATAAATATCCTAGAAAACAGTTTCCCAGAAAAAGAAGAGCAAGCTTTCTAAAGTTCACTAAATAGACTATTTTAAAAAACAGTTCATGTATATTTTTACTTAATGTGTATTGCTGTTTTTTTTTTTTTTTTTTTTTTTTTTTTTTTTTTTTTTGTGTGTGTGTGTGTGTATGTTTTCGTGAGGGTGTCAGATCCCCTAGAACTGGAGTTACAGACAGCTGTTAGCCACCATGTGGGTGCTAGGAATTGAACCCAGGTCCCCTGGAAGAACACCCAGTGATCTTAACCACTAAGCCATCTTTCTAACCCAAATAGATTCCATCTTTAATGCGTCTTTCTTTGTGTTCCCCAGTCCTGGTACTTCCTGCTTACAAGATACATTTGTCAGCTCTAGGATTGGAGGTTGTAGGTATGGGAACTTTATTTTCCAGCTTCTTGCACCTCCCAAAGATGCTCTGCTGGTAATTATTTTCATTGAGGGGAAAAATATGTGGCTACAGAAATCTTTGTTTCAGTGATAATTATAGACTGTTGGGCCTGAAATGAATATCTACTTGTCAATAAAGAAGCAGGACAAGAGTTAAGTCACCACACAAGTGGTAGTGAGACTAGCTCTTTTGAACAGAGCAGAATAAGGTTCTACCATATTAGCCTGGTAATAACTAAAACATGTACAGTGAAATTTATTAGTTTTATTTGTGTGTAGACGAGTAAAATATACATTGACTACCATTTCCTTACAGAGAACATGCTACCGTGAAGACATAGTCACAGTTTTCACATGAGCAAAGCTGGCACTGTTATTATTTAGTACCCCAAAGGAGTACCGTCAGTGAACATTAAAGGACAATACTGAGGCTAAGAGGATGTAGAAACCTGAACTTGAAGCCTGAGCCACTGCCTAAAGGTAATAACTTTTCATTTCTTTAAAATTCATCAGTTGTCTTTTTGTTTTTTAAATTTTTATGTGTTAGCAAAGTAAATTGCCAAATCTATCCCTCACTCCCATCCCCTCCATTCCAGTTTCTTCATGTGCTTTTGTTTTCCTTTTGTTTTGTTTTGCCCACTGAGTCATCAGTGTTGCCAGTGTGTACATGGGTCATGAGTGCAGGGCCACCCACTGGAGCATGAGTAATCTCTCAAGGGTGGGATCCCTGTGGAACAGTAACTGTCCCTCCTGAAGGAGCCATCAGTTGCTAACTGTTCCCAGTGAGGTGGGGGGTGGAACTTCATGACTCTGATTTCCTTCCTTCCTTCCTTGGACTTTGTCTAGCTTGATCTTGTGCAGGTGTTATGCATGCAGTCACAACTGCTGTAAGTTTATGTATGAGCCATCTGTCTGACAGAAGGCTGGTGTCCAGAATATACAAGTGACTCAAAACAAAACAAAACAAAACAAAAAAACATCAAAAAACCTTCCCAAATAATCCAATTAAAAAATGTTTCAGTGGAGCTAAACAGAGTTCACAAGGGGAAAAAAACACAAATTGCTACAAATTTTTCTTTAAATGTTCAACGGGTATCCTTAGCCATCACAAAGATTCAGATTAAAACTACTATGAGATTTCTTACTACCCCAGTCAGAATGACTGGAGCCAAACAAACAAATGCTGGCAGAGATACACAAAAAGGAGGAGGATTATTTGTTTATTGAGATTCTTTGTTTGTCTGGTGTTCAAATCTTTGAAAAATGGGTGTCCATACCAGGCGTTGGTGGGGCATGCTTTAATCTTGGGAGGCAGAGGCAGGTGGATCTCAATGAGTTTGAGGCCAGCCTGGCAGTGTGGTCTACAAAGTGAGTTCTAGCACAGCCAGAACAGAGAAACCCTGTCTTGAAAAACAAGATGAAAGGAAAGGAGGGAGGGGAAAAAATTGGTGTCGATGGCTTAAAGACTTAAGCATATTCTGAGTTTATTGAAACCAGTTGCTATAGGTAAAACTTAAGGAAGTTTTACATGGATGAAAGAATGTATCATACAGCCTTGTTTTTATCAATACATCAGAAGTTGGAATAAGATTATCTGTTCTACCTGTGGCCACAATGACCTTAACATAGACACCAGAAACTCTTAAGTTGAAAACAGTTCCAAGGAATCATATTCAGAATGCATAGGGATGGTTTAGCAGATGTATTTTGCATATAGTTTTCTTTTTATAAATTGTGAGTTTTATGTAATAAAAACCCATTTAAACTTAAAAGACTCAATAAGTGTGGAACAAAAATTACGTAGTGAAAGAGTATATATCATGTGTAACACAAAAAATAAAAACCCAGAGACTGATACTGGGGTTCAGGCTTCAAGCTGAAGATCAGAAAAGCAAAGTAGCTAAGCCAGTAGCTCTTAACCTCTACCTAGTCTAAAGGAATCCTACCCTCAATGTGACTGGAGACCAAAATGCTCCAGACTGGATATCTGCTTCTGTTTTACATACCTCAAGTATGGGATTAAAGACATGCGATCCCAAGTGCTCTGATCACCTTTGTGTGAGCTCTGTTTCTCTTTAGGACTGGGATCAATTTCCTGTAGCTCAGTGTGGCCTTGACCTAACAGAATTTCATCTGCCTGGCTTCTGTGGCTAGATAGTATGGCTGCTGGGATTAAAGGTGTGCATCACCACTGCCTGGCTCTATAGCTTATGGCTAGCTTTGCATTCTGAAACCCCAGACAAGCTGGGGTTATATATCAACACAATCATGGTTTCTTACTGTTTTTATTTCTTAGTGGTACATAAATTAATTGATTTTAATGATGCTGGGCTTTATTAGATTGATTACTTTTATTTTATGTTTGGGTGTTTTGCCTGCATGTATATGTGTACATGTGCATAGAGTGCCTGCAGAAGCCAGAGGAGAGTGTTGTATCCCCTGGAGCTGGAGTTACAGACTATTGTGAGCTGCCGTGTTACAACTAAGGAACCAAACCTGGGTCATCTACCAGAGCAACTAGTGCTCTTAATTGCTATGCCATTTCTTCAGCCTAATACCAGAGATTTTAATAATTTTTTTGTTTACTGACTAATATTTAATGTGTTGACATGCATGTATGTGTGCCCACACGTATGTGCATGCATCTGCCCATTCAAGCACATGTTACTATGCACATGTGGAAGCCAGAGAAGCATTTGGAAGGACTTGGCTCTCTCCTTCCACCATCTGGGTTCCAGGAATCAAACATGAGTCATCAGGCTTGTCAGCAAGCGTCTTTACCCACTGAGCCATCTCATAAGTCCAATCAGAGGATTTCTTTAAATTAGACATTGCTGAGTTTGTTCACTGTGATTTTATTTGGGAGTTTTGCATTCATGCCTTTATGATTTTTTTTTTTTCCTCTCAGGTATGGTGAGGCCAGCAGATGAAGAAACAATTGCCATTGAAAAGACAGCTTATTACTCAGAGTTCTCAAAAAGAATGTGGGATGCTGTACCACAAAGAGCCACATAACAACGGCAAGGTTGGTGGCAGGTAGACATGGGATAGAAGACTGCAGAAGAACCTTGCCCGTGGTTTTTAAAGAAAGAATGGGCACAGAAGCCTAAGCAGACTAAGCTGGCTTAAGATCAGAAAGGTTGAATAAACTTATTGGACTCTGGACTCTGGCTTGTATTGACTGATAGCTGGCCTTAGGGTGGTTAAAGCTGGGTCAGAATCGGTAATGTAGGTAGCTGTGGGGAGCCTACTCTTTGGACTTGTTTTCATAGGAAGGTTAGTTTTGCAAGAACGTTTTTTATATCTCTAGGAATTAATTAGTCTGGATCAGAGCAGCCCTTCCCTGGTCAGTGGGACTCCTAAGATGCCAAAGGGTCATGACGAAAACTAGAAAACATGATTAATATAACAATTAAAATTAGTTTTGGCTGGGCGTTGGTGGTATACGCCTTTAATCCCAGCACTCAGGAGGCAGAGGCAGGTAGATCTCTGTGAGTTCGAGGCCAGCCTGGTCTCCAGAGCAAGTGCCAGGATAGGCTCCAAAGCTACACAGAGAAACCCTGTCTCGAAAAACCAAAAAAAAAAAAAAAAAAAAATTAGCTTTAAATTTTCTTCCTTGTGCTCCTTCCTTTTAGAATGAATACTAGTTATTTAGTTTCAAAAATTTTCTTATAAAATGTCTTGCCTTGATATTCATTTTGTGGAAAGATTTTTCAATATTAGTGTTTTTAAGCATGTTCATCCATTATAGTTCTAGAGTTTGTTTTTGTAAGTTTTCTTTTTTTCTAGAAATAATGTCCATAATATCTTCACCTTAATGTCTACTTTAGGTGGTCTCTTTTTAATACTGTATTAATTTGTGCTTTTTCCCTCTTTTTTTTTTTTTTTTTTTTTTTTTTTTTTCGAGACAGGGTTTCTCTGTGTAGCTTTGGAGCCTATCCTAGCACTTGCTCTGGAGACCAGGCTGGCCTCGAACTCACAGAGATCTGCCTGCCTCTGCCTCCCGAGTGCTGGGATTAAAGGCATGCGCCACCAACGCCCGGCTTCCCTCATTCTTTAAATAATTAATTAATTAATTAATTTTATTTTTCCCTGGCTGTCCTGGGACTGACTTGATAGACCAGGCTGGTCTCAAACTCAGATATCCACCTGCCTTTGCCTCCCAAGTGCTGGATTTAAAGTTGTGCACCACCTCCACCTGGCAAGCAATATTTATTTTTTTAGTTTTATATGTATGGCTGTTTTGGCTACATGTATGTATGTGCATGCTTGCCCTGTGCAAGAGGCGTTGCATCACCTAAAACAGGTGTTAAAGACAGTTAGGAGTTGTTGCCATGTGTGTGCTGGGAACTAAACCCAGGGCCTTTGCATGAACAGCAGCAAGTGCTCTTGTTTTGTTTTGTTTTTCCAAACAGGGTTTCCCTGTGTAGCTTTGGAGCCTGTCTTGGAACTCACTGTGTAGACCAGGCTGGCCTTGAACTCACAGAGATCTGATGCAACAAGTGCTCTTAACCATTAAACATGGAGCCATCACTCCAGCCTCTCTCACTGTTTTTTTGTTTTTTTGTTTTGTTTTGTTTTGTTTTTTTTGGAGACAGGGTTTCTCTGTTTAACAGTCTTGGAACTCCCTTTGTACACCAGGCTGACCTCAAACTCACAGAGATCTGCCTGCCTCTGCCTCCCGAGTGCTGGGATTAAAGCCTGTGCCACCATGGCCTGGCTTATTGTTACATCTTCTAATTGCCTAGTACCAAATAAAGTTTTGTTTTAGGTCAGTTTCCTATTTTTTCCTATAACAAAAGGTTCTTCTGCAGTACACAATCTTCTAACCCCCTATTACTATTAAATATTAAAGTATCTTTTTTGTTTGTAAACCCACTTTGAAAATCTTTATTGTCAAGTATACAAAAATCATAAAAGTAGACAATAATATTGCTTCTCTATAACCAAGAGGTTAAGTAACTGTAGCTTATAGGTTTTGTTGAATTTTTATAATAAGTTATATCAAGATACATGTGATGATTTAAAAATCTTATGTGAGAAACTACATAGAGGTCCCTTATAGCTATCTACTAAATAGGACTCATTTTATTGTCTTAAACTCATTCCAGAGACAATCATAGTACTAGATCTAAGTTCCTCAAAGTTTATACTATTCATAATTTTTCATTTTTCAAGTTTGTCAAACTAATATTAGATAGTATGATGTTTAGTTTTAACTTTGAGATAGGTCTGGTCCTGTAGCCCATGCTGTCCTACGACTCAGTCCTCCTATTTTAGCTTCCTGATTACTGGGATTATAAGTGTGTACAGTCTAGATGGTGGAGACAGGAAAATCAGAAGGTTAAGGTTATCATTGTCTACCTCTTCAGGAATTTTTAAATTTATTCTTTGATAATTTCACACAAATATAAATATGTCTTGATCACAACCAGCCCAAGTCCCACTTCCTCCAGACATCTCCAGTACTTGTCCCTCTCACCTTCTTAATCCACTGAGTCTACTTAGTGAGTCCTGAATGCACTTGGGCCTACCAGTCAGTGGCCACAACCCTAGAGAAAACTTATTCCCCATTATTCAGGAACAATAAACTGCCAGTGTTTCTCAGCTAATGATGGCGCCTTGTGAGCCCTTCTTCCATCAATGCTAGAGCATTGACGAGCTTGATTTTTTTTCTTCAGGTAACTGTAGCTGCTAGGAGTTCATCAGGGCAATAATCATGCCATGTCCAGAAGACATTTCACAGCACTCTTCCCCATTCCCTGGGTCCTACATTCTTCTGTGCCCCTCCCTTTTTCTTGATGTTAGGTAGGATGGTATAAATATCCCGTTTGGGGCTGAGCACTTAACAGTCACTAATTCTGAGCACTCTGACTGCTACCTACTGCAGATAGAAGCTTTCCTGATCAGAACTGAGAGAAGCACAAGTCTCTGGCTATAAACATAACATTCAGAAGTCAGTTTGACATGTACATTTAGCCAAACAATGGCAAGTTTCCTTCCAGGGCCTATGACCTCCCTAGCTATAGGCCTTTGACTAGGTTTAGAGCACCAGACATAGATTTCTTCCTATACAGTGGACCTGGGATCCAATTAGGAAGCAGTTGGTTACCTTAGTAACAATCATGTCATTGTTGTAACTGTGGGCACTTTTCACCTGGCAGGCCAATAGTTTAGCATACAGGTGCTACTACTAAGTCCATTGATGTCTCCCTCCTCCACCCTGACAGTGGCTGGAACAGCAACTTCTAGCACTGAAAACTAGCCTGTAGAAAGGAAGTTTTCAGGTCAATTCTAGATTGAGTCCTCTGGGTCCTACAGCAAAAGTGTGTTGTGTCTTCAGCAATAGGGCCTTAGAAAGTCATCCTTGGTTACATAAATATGTCTAGTACTTTCCTCTTATCTGAAATGTTAACTTAAAAAAATCTTTTTACTGTTAATTATGTATAGGGTGTGTGTATGCAAACACCACTGCATTCATGTGGGGCTCAGGACTCTCACCTGCTGAAGCCCCACATCACTCTTGTTTGTTTTTTATTTTTGTTTTGTTGTTGTTTTTTTTTTTTTTCTTTTATACTTGGGAAGCTTTACTGGGGGAAGGAAAGGGAGTGGGAAAGGGAAGGGGGGAGACAAAGGGAGAGAGAGAGACTGAGATCTGCCTCCTCAGAGGGCTTGTTTTTATTTTATTTTTTGAAACAGGGTTTCTCTGTGTAGCCTTGGCTATCCTGGAACTCATTCTGTAGACCAGGCTGGCAAACTCACAGAGATCCACCTGCCTTTGTCCCCCAAATGCTGGAATTAAAGGTGTTTACCGCCACTGTCAGGCTTACCCTTTATAGTTTCAGTTACTTATAGTCAACCATGACTTGAAAATATTAAACAGGAAATTGTAGGAATAACTTTTATTGTAGTATGGTGCAGTTGTTCTATTTTATTATTGTGATTACTTGTCTTTTATTATGCCTAATAGGCCTAGTATATAGTATATAAATGCTAGATTAAAAATGCACATGGAGGTTGTGGTCTTTTCTGAGGTTTGAGACATCCACTGGAATATTTGGAATGTATCTTATAGGACACATATTCCTATGTATGCATATCCTGTCAGTGCCAAGGTGTCTTTCTAAACTTATGTGATGCTTTATGTTTGACATATCCCAAGGGACACATATTCCCATGTGTGTATAATCCCATTAACACCAGGGCATCTTTTCTAAAATTGCATAAGACCATAGAGATTAACATAGACTAAAGGACCTATATTCTCATACATGCATATTCCCATTTGTACCAAGACATCTTATCAAAAAATGCTGTATAGGTTACACCCAACCCACAAAATTAAACTTTTGTCTGTATTAAATAATTGCAGAGAATGTCATAACTTTATAACTCAAATTTCAATTTTAATGAGCCAATATAGAGTGTAATTAAGGACAGAATGAGGGAATTATGTATTCCTAATATTTAATCTGCCTTACATATATTCTGGTGCCTTGGCAAGTTAATTACTAAAAACAGTAGTTTTTATCTTTTCCATTCTATCTATAGAATGGAAATTATTTTACCTAATTGTGTAAGGTACCATAGTATGGAAGATGAAAATTATTTAGGATTACCATCCCCATAAAAATGTTAATTGTGACAGTTGACAGGATGTTTAATCTTTCAGCTATTAACTAACAGGAGAAAATGAAACTGAAGATGAAGGCAGCATGGAACAGTGCCGCTCAGTAGGGGTCAGCTGTAGTGATGAAGAGTCCAAAGGAGAAACTCGGGAATCTGAGGTAGGGATGCATCTGGGAAGTTTTCTAGTCTTCAGAGGACCAGCATGCCTTTAACAACTCTTTGTGACTCAGTGATACAAGATTTCTAATATTCCAGGAATGGTAGCATACATTTGTTTTCCCAGCATTCAGGAGGTGCAGCAGAGGATCAAGAGTTCACATATTTCAGACTCTGTTTCAAAAGTGTTTTGATTACATATCTATCACATATTTTTTTTTTTTTTTTTGAGACAGGGTTTCACTGTTTAGCTCTGGCTGTCCTGGAACTTGCTTTGTAGACCAGGCTGGCCTAAAACTTACCAAGTGCTGGGATTAAAGGCATACATCATCATCGCCCGGCATATTTAATCTTCAATATAGAATTTTTAATAATGCTTACATATAGCCATAAAATTTTTTTGTAATCTCTCTATATATTGAATTATATTTCATCATTTCCAAATGCATTCCTGAGAAAATAAAGAGTTAAAAGATATAAAAGTTAACACTTTCATTTAAGATGGTGGTTCTCAACTGTCTGTGGGTTGCAACCCCATTATGGTTGTATGACCCTTTCATAAGGGTTGCCTAAGACCATCCAAAACTACAGGTATTTATGATCCATAACAGTGGCAAAATTACAGTTATGATGTAGCAATGAAAATAATTTTATGGTTGGAGGTCACCACAACATGAGGAATCAAAGGGTCGCAGATTTAGGAAAGTTGAGAACCACTGACATAAGAAATAGTTTGGGCTGGAATGTAGCTCAGTGGTAAATTGTTTGCCTAGGATGTAGAAGGTCCTGGGTTCAATATCCAGTATTAAAAATACCCAAACTTGCTTGGCCTAGTGGTGCACGCCTTTAATATTACCATTCAGGAGACAGAGGCAGGCAGATCTCTGAGTTTGAGGCCTGCCTGGTCTGCAGAGTGAGTGCCACAGCCAGGGTGGTTACACAGAGAAACCATGTCTCAAAAACAAAAACAAAACAACTCTGTAAAAATATGTTATATTTTACAAAGACTGATATATATTTGTTTGTTTATTTATCTTTTGACTTTTCAAAAGCGTCTAACCTGTATGGACTCTGGGGATTCTTCCTTTGGACAAAATGACTCCCCTACCATTCTGCCCATTACTGCTCCTGAAACAGACGATTCGCTCACATCACAGGACATGCCAGAGACTCTGACTGACACACAGACCCTTCATGCAGAGCAGTTTCACCTGTTGGACCCAAATGGGCAGCCTGTTCAATATGACCTGCAGTCATTGGAAGAGTCTAGTGCACAAATGGTGAGTATATTTTATAACTAGCGAGTATTATGCTATTATGGTATTTAACAATATGTATTAATCATACTAATTAATTTCATTGACTTATACATTATATTGGGAATAGTCTTCTGTGACCTTGTTTTTTTTTAATGTAGGTATTTTTTTTTCTTTTCAGGAGTACAAAGACTACAAATAGTATATTTAAAGCAGACCTTACTGTTCAAGTCAGGCACACTGGTGTTTGAGATAAGCTAGTGTTTAGATACTAAAGTTTACTTGTAAGTTAACTTCTTGTTTTTGAGACAAGGTTTCCTTTCACTCTCTCTGGTACTAAACTTCATACATGCGCTATCATGATTGAGATCATAGGTACTTAAGATGTTAGGCAATAATCAAGCTGATTGTTTTGAATCTTAGCTTCAGTACTTGTCAGTTGTGGGACCTTTGGAAAAATTGGCACAGTCTCAGTGCTGTGTCTGCAGAGTGAAATAATAAGGCCATCCTAGATGTAGGTGTGCACTTAAATAACATAGTAGCCCTGGTAAATCAGAACAGCATATGCATTTCTTTAATGCCTCCAAGACTATCACTACCAGCCCTTCATGTAATTCCATCTACCCAGACAGGAATGGCGCAAGTGATTATATCTCAGGAGCCGCTTGTGGATGTGACTAGTCCTCACGGTGAGTCAGTATGGGATGGGTGCAGGGGATTTGACTATGCTTTAAAGATTAAGGTGAGATTCTAGAAAATTTCCTATGGAAGTCCATACTAAAGTTCATCTCTTTAGGTAAGATTGTGAACTGAATAATTAGAAAAAGTTTTATTATCCCCAATAAATCTTAAGTCCGTTTTTCAACTCCTGTCTAGGTTAGCTGTCTATTTCATTTTGGAATTCTATGAAGCTGGTTGACTCCTGCTTCCTCCCAAATAACCAGTGAGCATAAAATAAATTCTTCTTAAATATAGAAACAACAATAGAAATAGCAACAACAGCACAAATATAGTACCTAGCTACAGAAGGTTTTTATATTTGTATTTTATTGATGTTTTTTGCTAGCTTTGTGACCCATTTTTGTTTAAACTGTTAGTTGAATCTTCTTCTCCTCCCCCTTTCCATTGTTTCATATTCAGAAAAGAGAATCAGGCTTCCCATCCTCCCCCTTTTTTGCCTGTTTGGAAAAATTCCTATTAATTTCCTTCCTTCCCTTTGCAATATAGTTGAACTTTTTTTTAACATCCTTGCTACACTGTTTTGTTGCTCTTTTATACATAGTGGTTTAAGATAGCTATTTTTTACCTTTGTTTTATGATTTATTATCTATTAATAGTCATTAAAAGTTAAACCAAAAACATTATAAGTACAATGTATAAGTAAATTTTTCATTTTCATATTACATGTGAAACTCTTTAATATAACAATTATTTCTACTATTTTAAAACCATAGCTGTTAAATATAAGTATAAAAACTTAACTACAAAAGTTCATAGTCAGTACACAATTTAAAAGTAAGTAAGTTTTATCAGTGACAGTCTCTTTTAAAGATATGTATTTTTTAACTTCAGAACTATTCTTTTTCCTATTAAAATGTTTTAATTCTTGTTAAATAATCTTCATAGTGTTATTCCAAATACTGATGATTCTTGTTTTTGTTGTTAAGATGCCTCTGAAGAGAAACCCACTGACAGAGGCTCACCACCTGTAAGAGCAGATACCTTAGAAGTCAGTGCCAATTACATTCTTCGTTCACAAGCATCCCCTGTGATACCCAAAAAGCCAGGGACCAGGTGAGGCATGGGAAAGAGGAACTTGTCTTTGGGGTCACAATGGAAGTCTAAAGCTGGCAGACAATAGAAAAGATGAGAAGCTCAGAAAGAGGAAACGTTGGTCACATATATCTTCATTTATTTTAGTGCATCTTGGCAAGGACAGCTTGCTGTTCTTTTGGAGAAATGTGAAATGTCAGTAGTCTGCTTCAGAACAAAGACATCATTCTAGTCCCTAAGATTTTTAAATGGTTTAACCACATTTATATGGATATAATTCTTATAGGGTAAGGTCTTTAAAAATTATTATTTTTTTTAGGTGTGTGTGTGTGTGTGTGTGTGGTGGTGGTGGTTCTGGAAATTGAATGCAGGATCTTGGGCATGCTAGGCATATATTTTCCACACAGCCACAAAAGCATAGCCTGTTTTGTTTTGTTGTTGTTTTTCTAATTTCTACTTCAGCTTTACATTTTTTCCTAAAATAACACTTTTCACAACAATTTTAGAAAAAATACTTAAAGTATCTTTTTGTAAAACTTTAAAAAAAATTATTTTGATTCTGTGTGTATGGGTGTTTAGCCTGTATGTCTGTGCACCATATGTGCAGGCCAGAAAAGAGCATCAGGTCCCTGGGACTGGAGTTGCAGTTGTTTTTGTTGTTGTCGTGTTTTTTTTTTTTTTTTTTTTTTGTTTTTTTGAGAAGGGTTTTTTTTGTGTAGCTTTGGAGCCTATCCTGGTACTCGCTCTGGAGCCCAGGCTGGCCTCGAACTCAGAGACAAGTGCTGGGATTAAAGGTGTGCGCCACCAAGAATGTGTGTCCGGCTTTTGAGACAGGATTTCTCTGTGTGTAGCTCTGGCTGTCCTGGAACCGGCTTTGTAGACCATGCTGACCTCACATTCTCAGAGAGTGGCCTGCCTCTGCCTCCTGAGTTCTGGGATTAAAAGCATACCCCATCACTGCCCAGCTTTTGTTTTGTTTTGGTTTTGTTTGTTTGTTTGTTTTGCGTTTTGGTACAGTTGTTTTTAAATAATTTATTTTTATTTTATGTACATTGGTGTTTTGCCTGCGTGTATATCTGTATGAGAGTGTCTGACCGCCTGGAACAGGAGTTGTAGACAGTTGTGAGCTGCCATGTGGGTGCTGGGAATTGAACCCGGGTCCCCTGGAAGAATAGTCAGAGCTCTTAACCACTGAGCTATCTTTCCAGCCTTAGAGTTATAGGCTCGTTTAGAGGTTGATCTGTTATTGTTAAATCTTGCAGTGTTTGCTTCACAAAACTGAATGAACATGTATTTGTTGGGTGTGGTGGTTTGAATGAGGAATGTTATCTGTAGGTTCATGTTTTCTAACACATGGTTCCCATTAGTGGCCCTGCTTGTGGAGATTATAGAACCTTTCAGGAAGAAGTAGTCACTGGGGGTAGGTGTGGAAGGTTTGCAACCTTACCCCCACTTCTTGCTGTCTCTGTGTGCTTCCTGTGTGAGGTTGAGATGTGATCTCTCAGACCTGCTCTTATAGCCATGCTGACTTCCCTGCCACGAGGGACTTATCCCTCTGGAACTGTAAGCCAAAATAAATCCTTTCTTCTATAATTCAGCAAGGTGAGTGTAGTTATTGTAATGGGCAGCATAGACAAAGCAATGCCCGTGATGGCCTGACCCTTAATGGGCCACACAGGCAAAGTGATTTTTATGGTGGCATGACTTGCATGGACTTTTGGTACTAGCTAAACAATCGTGGTGTTTCCAGGAATGAAACAGATAAGAAGCCTACTGTGTTTTTGTTTGATTTGTATAAGCAAAATAAAAATTCTTAGACAAGGGGCTGGAGAGATGGCTCAGAGGTTAAGAGCACTGACTACTCTTCCAGAAGTCCTGAGTTCAATTCCCAGCAACCACATGGTGGCTCACAACCATCCATTATGAAACCTGGTTCCCTCTTCTGGTGTGCAGATATACATGGAAGCAGAATGTTGTACACATAATAAATAAATAAAATCTTAAAAAAAGAATATTCTCAAAACAAATTTTTAAAAAATTGTAAAAAAAAAAGTTCTTAGACAAATGAAAGAAAGGCTACATTGGATGGTGGCAAGAAGGAATCTCAAGTCAGTAAACCAATTTCCAGACTTGAGCCAGTTTGCAGATCCAGAACCCCTTAGGAAAGGACCTTGCTAAAATAGCTAAGAATTTTACTGTTAGCCTTTCTCCCACCTTTCCCCAGAGAGGTCTATGGCCTTTTACAAGGGTAAATGTACAAGAGGGAAACAATTAGACTTTCCAGGGTCTTTCGGATACTGGTTCTGAATAGATACTGATTCCAAGAGATCCCAAGAAGCATTGTGATCCTCCAGTTAAAGTAGGGGTCTTTGGAGGGCAAGTTGATTAATGGAGTTTTTGCTAAAGTCCATCTCACAGTAGAACCAGTGGGTCCCTGAACTCATCCTGTGCAAATTTATTTCCCCAGCTCCAGAATGTATAATTGACATAGATACACTTAGGAGTTGACAGAATTCCCACAGCTACTGACTCTTTGTCTAGCCCCATTGTTTGGCCTGTGCATGACCACCATCTTGACCACCGTTCTACCAGAACAGCACACATTGCTGTTGCTGCTTCTGCTTCTGCTTCTGCTTCCTTCTCCTCCTCCTCTTCTTCCTCTTCTTCTTTTAAAGATTTATTTTATGTATGTGAGTACACTATCTGCATGTATACCTGCACATCAGAAGAAGGTGTCTGGTCTCACTACAGATGGCTGTGAGCCACCATGTAGTTGCTGGGAATTGAACTCAGGACCTCTGGAAGAGCAGCCAGTGCTCTTAACCTTTGAGCCATCTCTCTAGCCCACACATTGCTTCTTTAAAGGAACACCTTACATGCTTCATGGTTTTTGAGCTTTGTGTATCCTTGATGGTCTGGGCAGTTGCCTGGGTATTTTTAAAATAAACTTGAGAGCTGAGCCTCTTTTTTTTTTTCTTTTCTTTTCTTTTATTAGTTCAAATTAGGAACAAGCTTGCTTCCCATGTCCATCCCTTCTCCCTCTCCCTCCCCTCCCCCCCCAACATCCCCCCTGCCCCTAGCCATTTCCCCCTCCACTCCCCAGGCAGGGTAAGGCCCTCAAAAGGGGCTCCCCAAAGTCTACCACATCATCCTGGACCAGGCCTAGGCCCTTCCCCATGTGTCCAGGAGAGCTGAGCCTCTTGATGTACATGATTCTGTAGGGTTTTCTGAGTGAAGAGATTAGCAAACCATTTTCATAGGTCACCTGTGGCCATATACAAGAAGAGACTACTGCTTTATCCCTTTATCCAGTTTCAGGAACTATAATTGAGATTACTAATAAAAAAGTTAACATGAGCAGGAGGGACTGCTCAGTAGTTAAGAGCTTGTTAAGATGATCCTTTGTGAAAAGAAAGAAATTGTTTCTAAAGCAGAATAGAAGATTTCACAGAGGAAAGAGATTCCCAGAAGAAACCAGAGAAACATAAATCAATGGCATGGAATAAGTCCAGCATTAAATAAATTTACAGAAATGTTTTTCTGTTTGTTTTAATAAAGGAGGAGTCAGAGGTTGGAGAGATGTGTCTGTGCTTAAGAAGAGCACTGGCTGTTCTTATAGAGGACCTGGGTTTGCTTCCTTGCACCCATATGATGACTCATAGCCATCTTTAGTTCCAAATCCAGGGGATCCAATGCCCACTCTGCTCCCAGTCACATGTGGCACACATACTTACATATGTGGTCTAGGGAAATGGCTTAGTTAGTAAAGCATTCAGCATACAGTGTGAGGCTCTGTGTTCAAAACCAGGTGCGGTAGTTCTTGTCTGTGACCTCTGGGAAGTGGGGCACAAAGGAAGACTGATCCCTGAGTTCACTGGCCAGCCACTTTCAGAATTGGTGAGCTCCAGGTTCAGTAAGAAACCCAGTCTCAAAAAATAAGGTGAGCTGGGTGGTGGTGTTGGCAGTGGTATACACCTTTAATCCTAGCACTTGGGAGGCAAAGGCAGGTGGATCTCTGAGTTTGAGTCTTTCCTGGTCTACAGAGAGAGTTCCGGGACAGCCAGGGCTACACGAAGAAACCCTGTCTTGAAAAACAAAACAAAACAAAACAAAACAAAATGTGAAGAATGACTATGGAAAACATCTGATGTCAATCTCTGGTTTCAATACATATATGTACACATGTATATGCACGTGTGTGTCTTCATTTAATACAACATCACACACACACAAAGTAAGGAAAAAGACAAAGCATTTGAATGGTGTGTGTGTGTGTGTGTGTGTGTGTGTGTATTTACATCTATTCATCTCCTCTTCCAGAATGCTTGAAGAACCTTTGCTGGCTCCTCTTCAGCCACTTTCTTCTAACACACCTATTTGGGCCTGCCGACTTAGGAGTTGTGAGGTGAGTTTAAGATAATCCTTCCCTCATTTAACTGGTTGTGGCAACATTTCATCCCCAAATGAAAAATTTTAAATACATAATACAATCAATATCTGTCATGTTCTGTATGCATTTATGTTTAATCTAAGTTTACCTGCTGTTTTATTCTTTAAGATAATAGGCTCTGATAAAGCAGAAGTTATGCCTATTGTAGTGGTGCATGCCTGTAATCCCAGCACTTGCGAGGTGGTGGCAGGAGGATCAAAAGTTGAAAATCATCCTTGGCTATATAGTGAGTTCAAGACGAGCCTGGGCTACATGAAACCCTGTCCCTTGAAACCACAAGATGGAACAAGAGAAAAAGTAGCTGTCATTATAAAGTTCTTCTTTCTTCAATGTCATTTCTTCTCTTGTGGCTGACCTTCCTTGTCTTCCTAAACTTCATTATCATCCCTTTCTGCCTTTTGCTTTGGACTACCTCTCTCCCCTCCTTGGTAGCATTTATTTCTCTTTATAGTCTCACTATACATTCTTCAAGATTTGCTTTTGACCTTGTCTTCTTTTTATCTTTTGAAGGACTTTACCTATTTTGTTGACTTCAGCTCTCATGTTTATAAAATAATTGGCAAATCTACATCACCAATTCTGTAATTCTTACTCTTGTCCCAGGCCATCAGTATCTTTTTGTTTGTTTGTTTGTTTGTTTTGTTTTTGTTTTCAAGACAGCGTTTCTCTATGTAGCTTTGGAGCCTATCCTGGCACTTGCTCTGAAGACCAGTCTGGCCTCGAACTCACAGAGATCCGCCTGCCTCTGCCTCCAGAGTGCCCGGCATGACTGTCAGCATCTTTTTGAAGTTTTATTTAGATTTTACTTTAATTCACTGCAACTATACCAGTTAGCTTTGCTTCCTGTATCCTATGCCTGTTTCTTTAATAAACACCTTTCCCTTACATATCCAGACACACAGTTTTAGACAGATTTCAGATACTTAGCTGGTTTTTGTTGACTGTTTGAGATGGTCTCACAATGTAGCCATGGCTGGCCTGATAACTCACTCTGCAGACAAAGCAAGCTTTAAACTTGTGTTAGTCCTTCTGCCTCAAGATCCCAAATCCTAGGATTGTAGGTGTAAATTACTATGTCCAAGTCACAATTCTTTTGAAAGTGATTAAGAGAACTTGCTGCATTTGCAGAGGACCCTGCGTTCAATTCCAGAATCTATATGATGGCTCACAACAGTCTGTAACTCGAGTTCTGACACCCTCATTTGGCCTCTGTAGGCTCTGTATGCATATGTATATTTACATATCTGTAGATAAATCATTCTTATACATAAAATAAAAATAAATAAAATCCCCCCAAATTAAATGTTATAAAAAAGAGTGTTAATATAATGAAGTTCTTCTGCAAGGTTTTTTTTTAGAACACATAGTCATAGTTTTCATTGGGTTTTAGTAGATTCTTGGCATCATATAAATAAAAATCACAAAGGGGGCTGGAAAGATTGCTCAGTGTTTAAAAGCACTGACTGCTCTTTCAGGGGACCTGTGTTCAATTCCCAGCACCCACATGGCAGCTCACAACTGTCTGTAACTCCAAGATCAAACACCCTCACACATACGTACATGCAGGCAAAAAACACCAATGCAAATAAATAATTTTTTAAAAAATCACAAAGAACCAGCACTTTATGGTTAATTTTATGTTGATCTGGATTTGACCTAGGGTTACAATTTTAGCTATCCAAGAGAATGGATATATTATCTATTCTTCAAGCTTTCTCTTCTAAAACTTACTTCTCGTATGGCAGTGAATATGTCATTATATATCCTTATGTCTGTTTGATGATACTGCTTGAGTTCAGATCAGACCCCACTGGTTGTACCGGCAGTGGTGAGGAAGTGAATTGATGCTATTTTATCTTAACCATCTCATTAATTTACTGTTCACCAAAACATATTTACTAATGATTTTCTTATTTAATTTCTCCCTTGTACAGAAAATTGGAGATTCCTACCGTGGCTACTGTGTTAGTGAGACTGAATTAGAAAGCATCCTAACTTTTCACAAGCAGCAAACACAGAGTGTCTGGGGCACTCGACAGTCTCCAAGCCCAGCCAAACCTGCCACGCGCTTGATGTGGAAGTCCCAGTATGTCCCATACGACGGAATCCCATTTGTCAATGCAGGTACTTCTCATCAGTTACTTAGAGGCTCCCCAGCAGCTGTGCTCTATTGTGAGAGGATACATTTCATTTTGGTAGGTGAGAATTGAATTTTAATTGCTGAAATGAATATTAAACTAAAAAGAAAACATAGCAAATATAAGCCATTACTTTATGTCATAAAATTATGTTTTAATATATGGCACTGGATAAATAATAATTCACTTGTATAGTATGCTAATAAATAGAACTTTCTCCAAGTAGACCTGTAGATACTATCACATAATCAGAAAACAATCCTTTTAGTCACACTAAAATAAATCATCTCTCAGACAGATAGATGATAGATCTATAGACAGACACATAAAATTTCATTATTTAGATCAGATTCTGCAGCCAAGTGAGTTCCAAAAGCTTTGTTTTCTGATTTTTTTACGTTTCAGGTTTACTCATAAAGAACTAATGTGCTGGGGGATTGGAGAGATGGCTCAGAGGTTAAGACCACTGGCTGCTCTTCCAGAGGTCCTGAGTTCAATTCCCAGCACCCACATGATGGCTCACAATTATTTGTAATGAAAATGATTTTCATTCCTTTTGGCAGTGTTATAAACGTCTTTACATTCAGTTCTCGGCTTAGTATTTCTAGACTTTAAAAAAATATCCAGTTTAGGCCAGGCATAGTGGCATATACCTTTAATCCAAGCACCCAGGAGGCAGAGGCAGGAATATCTCTGAGTTTGAGTCCAGTCTGGTTTATGTAGTGAGAGGACAACCAAGACTACACAGAGAGACCTTGTTTTAAAAACAAACAAACAAACAAAACCAGCCAGGTGCACTGGGACATGACTTTTTAATCCAGCACTCTGGAAACAGAGACAGGAGGCTCTGTAGGAGTTCAAGACCAGCCAGGGCTACTTGGTGGACCATGTATCAAAAATAAAAAAGAGATTATGTTATGGGAATTTTCATATCTATCAAAAACAGAGGTGAGGATATAACAACTTCACACCCCAGGAATCTGTCATCTGTCTTCAACAGCTGTCAGCATATGGTTACTCTAGTCTTATCTTTATCCTTCCCAAGCACGTGTAACAGCCCCAACATCAGACTTTACAGTAATTAACAGAGGGAGACTTCTTGGCACAGGCCTTCAAATCTAGCACTCAGGAGACAGAAGCAGGTAGAGTGAGTTCAAGGCCAGCCTAGTCTACCTGGTGAGTTATAGGCCAGTCAAGGCTACTTGGTGAGATCCTGTCTCTAAATGTCTTAGGGTTTCTGTTGCTGTGAAAAGACACCATGACCACAGCAACTCTTATAAAGGAAAGCATTTAACTGGGGTGATGGCTTACAGTTCAGAAGTTTAGTCCATTATTATCATGGTGGGGAGTATGGTGGCAGACAGGCAGACATGGTGCTGGCTACATCCTGATCAGAAGGCAACAGGAAGTGATCTGTGACACTGAGTGAAGCTTAAGCAAAAGAAACCTCAAAGCCCACCCCCACAGTGACACACTTAAACAAGGACACACTGACTTCAACAAGGCCACACCTCTCAATAGTGCCACTCCCTGTGAGCTTGTGGGGGACAATTACATTCAAACTACCACACTAAACAAGAAATAAGTAAATAAATAATAGTAGTTTATATTAGTTATAAAGTCACCAATAATCCCCTTTAAACAGAGGTCTTACATTTTAGTGTCAGCCTCCTAATTTTTTATTTATGATTAACAATTTTATTTTATATATATTTGAAATTTGTGTTTTGTTTTTTCGTGACAGGATTTCTCTGTATTGTTATGGAGGCTGTCCTGGAACTTGCTCTGTATACCAGGCTGGCCTTGAACTCACAGAGATCCGCCTGCCTCTGCCTCCTGAGTGCTGGAAATAAAGGGGTGTGCCACCAATGCCTGCTGTCCAGCCATTTTTTTATGTCTTAAAAGTTGGTTGTATCCTGCAGTAGAGTAGAATATTCAACTCTTATGTGGCATGGTTTTCACATCTATGTATTTGTAATCTGCTGTAATTAATAAATTATCCCAAACTTGAATGCTTAGAACTACAAACATTTATCTCAGTGTCTGAGTGTCATAATTCTAAGTGTAGTTTAGCAAGGTGACTGCCTCAGGTTCTCACACAGACTGAGGCTGTCGTGTTGACTGTTATTGCAGTCTTCTTGTGCCTTGCTACGAGAGGAGGTAATTCCAGTCTCACTTCTGTGCCTTGTTATGGGACGTTGCACAGAGTTCCCTCACTACGTGGCAGCTAATGTCACCTAGAGACAGCAGACCCAGTAAGAGTAAGAGAGTACGCAAGATGGAAATTATAGTCTTCTTATAACCTAATAGCAACAAAAGCATATTGTCACTACTGCCATATTTTGTAGAAGTTGGTCAGATAGCCCGTGCCGAAGGGGAAGAGCTACACAAGGAAATGAATGGTAGGAGGCCAGGATGCCTGGGTACCGTCTTAGAGGCAGGTTACCACATCAATCTAACAGGCCAAATGGAAATAACAAAATAAATAATTCTAGAAAAGGAAGTAAAGGGGCTAAAGAGATGGGGCAGAAGTTAAGAGCTCTTCTGCTCTTGCAGAGGACCTGGGTTCAGTTTCCAACTTCCACATCAGGCATCTCATAGCCACCTGTAACTCCAAGTTCATGGGATCCAGCACCTTCAGGCCTCCATAGGCACTTGCATACACTTGGTGCACATAAACTCTTGCAGACACACACACAACACTACATAAAATTAAATCTTTTATTTTAGTTTCTTTTTTCAAGGAAATTAGGGGCTAGAGAGATGGCTTGGTGTCTAAGAGTACTTGTTGCTCTTGCAGAGGACTAGGTTCTGTTCCTGGTAGCCAGGTGGTGACTCACAACCATTAACTCCAGCTCCAGGGGATCAGATACCTCTCCTTACCTCTCTGGGCATGAACATGTATACATATGCGCATGCAAGCAAAATGCTCATATATATATATACAATAAAATAAATCCAAAAATTTTTAAAGGGAATTAAGATTTTAAATAGTATTAACTATTGACCAAATGTAACATTTGCTAACTTCAACTTTCAAAGCAGTACATTAGTATTATTAAAAATCATGTCTCACCTGGTACACATCTATATTCGCAGCACTCGGGAGGCAGAGGCAGGGGAATCTCTGAGTTCAAGGCTAAACTGCTCGACAGAGTGAGTTCCAGGACAGCCAAAGCTGCTACACAGAAAAACCCTGTCTTGAAATACAAAAAAAAAAAAAAAAAATCACATGTCTCTATGTATCAGTAAATGTGATATTTATTAATTCCTTATCATAATTATGGCAATTTGATAAATTTTATATAAATTTATGTCTTCTGCATTTTTAGTAAGAAATACTGATGTTTTTGTTCCATATGCTTATGTACTTACAAGTATAGATTTTGAAATTGCCACAATGAAGTTTTTAAAAACCTGTCTAGAATATGTAAACACATCAATTACTGTCACTGGTTGGTTTTGGTCCACAGGTAGTCGAGCTGTGGTAATGGAGTGTCAGTATGGACCAAGGAGAAAAGGTTTCCAGTTAAAAAGAATCAATGAGCAAGAAAGTAGGTCCTGTCATCTCTACAAAGCTACTTGTCCAGCCAGGTAAGCGTATTTTATCTTACTTTACTTTTTTACATTAAAGTCTTATTTTTGAATAGCAAATAGAAGCATTTTTATAAACAGTTCAACCGTGTACAGTGAATTCTAAGTTTTGTATGTTCCTCATTAATGCCTCAACTCTTGCATCATTTTGCAAAGATTTTTCTATATATGAATACATATCTGTATGAGTATATACATAACGTCTACCCTAAAAGGTCAGTGAATCCCACTAATGCTTTCTTTCCTTAAAGTGAGGTAATAGTACTCCCTCTTCCCTGCTATATGAAAGCCTATAGTGAGTATCTGTTTATGTAAGGGTTGCTGTTGCTGTGAAGAGACACCAGGACCATGGCACCTCTTATAAAGGAAAACATTTAATTGCGTGGCTTACAGTTCAGAGGTTCAGTCTGTTATCATCATGGTGAGGTGTGGCAGCACACAGGCAGACACGGTGCTGGAGAAGGAGCTGAGAGTCCTACATTTTGCATAGGCAACAAGAAGTGAACTGAGACACTGGGCATGGCTTGAGCAAATTTGAGTCCCCAAAGCCCACCTGCATAGATACATACTTCCTCCAACAAGACCACACCCACTCCAACAAGGGCGCACCTCCTAATAGTGCCACTCCCTGTGAGCTTATGGAGGCCAATTACATTCAAACTACCACAGTATCTAATATGCACAGATAGCAAATTGTTGACTAGTGTTCATATGATATGTACTACTTACTAAACACTCAGTAATTTTCATTTCTAGTGTATCTTTAAAATGACTTCATACAGGTATATGAGTATTTTTTTTTGTTTTAAGTATCTGTGTAATATTCCATTTGTAAGCATAACATTTAATTACTATGGATAGACATGTAAGCTATGAAAAAAATTGGTTTCTGAGATAGAGAATCTCATGCCACCCAGGCTACCTTCACACACAATGTGTAGTCAAGAGTGGCCTTGAATTCCTCATCCTCCTGTCGCTGCCTCTTTATTACTAGGATTTATATATATTTACTAACATGCCTGGTGACAAATTCTGTTATTAGATTCAAAACCACAATTAATAACCTTTTTAAAATTTATTAGTAGGATAAATCCCTATAATGGTAATTGTTAGGGAAGGTTATATGCTTTTAAAATGTTGACAAAGAGCTGGTCAGTGGGGATGCACACCTTTAATGCCAGCACTTGGAAGGCAGAGGCAGCCGGGTCTCTGTGAGTCCGAGGCCAGCCTGGTATACAGAGTGAGTTCCAGGACAGCCAGGGCTACATAGAGAAACCATGTCTTGAAGAACCAAACAAATTAATATATAAATGATAAGATGTTGACAAAGAAAAATTACTTCTAAGAGAGATTTTACCAATTTACATTCACACCAGCAATGTATGAGAGCAATAGTAATTTTTAGATGGAGAACAAGGTTGTCATTGTTCTGGGTGAGGATAAAAAATGTGAACCAGCTGGGCTGTGGTGATGCACACCTTTAGTCCCAGTATTTGGGGAGGCAGAGGCAGGTAGATCTCTGTGGGTTCAAGGCCTTCCTAGTATAGAGTGAGTTCCAGGACAGCCACAGCTACACAGAGAAACCCTGTCTTGAAAAACAAGAAAAAGTTAAGTGTCTTTGTTGTCTTAAATGAGTTTAGATAATGGAAGTTTAAAGGCAGCCATCCTGGAAGAGGATCCTGAAAGTAAACCAGATGTGAATTATGGCTTCCAAGACAGTGAAGGAGAAAAAAATTTCAGAAAAATTATCTATATTTAGATAGTTATACTCAATTTATGATAATTGTTAATTTTCTAAGTATCATGAACTTAATATGACATCTTTCATAAGCTTCTGATACTAAATTAAAGATTCTCTAACTTCTCTGCTTGAGCTCTTTATTGATGTTAGGTATTTCTTGAGATTATAATAAACAGTATGTTCTTTGTCTTGTATAAAGGATTTACATTAAAAAGGTACAGAAGTTCCCTGAATACAGAGTACCTACAGACCCCCAAATTGACAGGAAGGTCATCAGAATGGAGCAGGAGAAAGCCTTTACCATGCTAAAGAAGAACTTGGTAGATGCTGGTGGAGTTCTTAGGTAAGGCACTCAGACAGCCCTTTCAATTACTAATTAGCATCATTAACAAGGACTCTTATAATTGTGCTTTCAATTACTTCATTAAGGACTGGTTATTTAAGTTAGTTACCTCACCAGTATTAAACTTATTTGCTGTTGTATATGTTACTGACTTTATTACCTAAAAATTGTATATAATTCTAACCATACATTGTTGATTACTGTGACCATCTGTAAGTTTTAAGCCCTAAGTAAAATTCCATTTTATGCTTCATGTTTTAAATAGTAGGAACTACAATATTTCTGGCGTATTTGTAGTCCATTATTTGTCAATTCAGGTGAAGAATTTATTATTGTATAATGATGTCAAATATAAAGAAAGCTTTTTTGTCATCTTTTATAAAAACTTAAAAATGAAGTCAATAATTAGTCAATAATTTTTATAACATGTAACTCTACAATTTTTATTTTTAAACAAAATTATTTTATTTTTAAATTTTATTGTGTGTCTAAGAGGTTTTCCTGCATGTATATATGTGCACCATGTTTGATGTCATGGAAGTTAGAAAATGACATTGGATCCCCTGGAACTTGAGTGATAGATGGCTGTGAATCACCATGTGGGTGCTGAGACTCAAACCTGGGGCCTCTGTAAGAGTACCAAGTGAAGCCGGGCGTTGGTGGCTCACGCCTTTAATCCCAGCACTTGGGAGGCAGAGGCAAGCAGATCTCTGTGAGTTCGAGGCCAGCCTGGTCTCCAGAGCAAGTGCCAGGATAGGCTCCAAAGCTACACAGAGAAACCCTGTCTGAAAAAACCAAAAAAAAGAAAGAAAGAAAGAAAGAAAGAGTACCAAGTGTTCTTAACAACTGAGTTATCTCTCCAGCTCAATACTAAATTTTAATCAGGCTCTGATTTGTTTATATTGGTTTATATCAAGCACAAGTACAGGAGTCAGTGAAATGTCTCAGTGAGTTCAGTCCCCAGCACCCTCATGATAAAAAGAAAGAACAGACTCCTTTTTTTTTTTTTTTTTTGAAACAGGGTTTCTGTGTGGCTTTGCAGGCTGACCTGGAACTAGCTCTTGTAGACCAGGCTGGTCTTGAACTCCCCGAGATCCGCCTGCCTCTTCCTCCCAAGTGCTGGGATTAAAGGCGTGCGACACCAAAGCCCAGCAAAGAACAGACTCCTTTAAGTTGTTCTCTGACCCCCACATATACATGCTGACACATGTGTGTCACATGTTGCATATCATATAAATTTAAAGAACAGGGGCTTGGTGTGTAGCTCATCCATAGAGCGCTTTCCTAGCCAAGTGCTTAGCCCAAAGTTAAGTCCCCAACAACACACACACACACACACACACACACACACACACACACACACACACACAACCACCCTCCCACACATGTACAGAAATATCACTTAAGTTGGGTCTGGTTATACACACCTTTAATTGTAGGTCTCAGAAGGCAGAGGCTGGTAGATCTCTGAGTTGGAGGCCAGCCTGGTCTGTATACCAAGTTCCAGGCCAGCCAGAGCTACATAGTGAGACCCTGTCTCAAAAACAAAACAACAAAAAAGAAAAATCAATTAAAACAGTATTTTACCCGATTGCTTGATTTTTTTTCCTGGCATCAATCTCTTGCACTACTGTACATGAGAAGTGTTCACATTTTAGTTGATTCTCTTACTCACTGAGCCAACAGGAATTGAGAATGCTTTGTTTATTTACTTACTTATTTTATGTGCTTTGATGTTTTGTGTGCGTGCGTGCGTGCGTGCGTGTGTGTGTGTGTGTGTGTGTGTGTGTGTGTGTGTGTGTGTGTGTGTGTGTGCGCGCGCGCGCGCCATGTGCAAACCCGGTACCTACATAAGTTAGAAGAGAGCTATATATCCCTTGAGCTGGAGTTACAGATGGTTGTGAGCTATCATGTGGGTACTAGAGCTCAAAAACCCAGTCCACTGTAAGACTAACAAGTGCTCTTAACTTCTGAGCCATCTCTCTACCCTCGTATATGTGTAAATCCCTATATTGCCTTAACTTTAGGGTCATATTGAAAGTTTATGAAGTTACTTTTATTTTTGAATATAAAGTCAATCTTAGGAGAGTTGAACATAAGACATTTAAAATTTTATTCCACATGGCATAATCATATATGATTTTAGTTTAAAAGACTACTCCTGCTGGGCAGTGGTGGCGCACGCCTTTAATCCCAGCACTCAAGAGGCAGAGGCAGGGAAATCTCTATGAGTTCGAGGCCAGCCTGGTCTATAGAGCTACACAGAGAAATCCTGTCTCAGAAAACCAAAAAAAAAAAAAAATTTCTTTTCCTTGATAAATATTAACTCAAGTAATTATGATTTCTACCTTTGTCTAAAATCATCTAATTTTATTATTTAAATTTTAGTAATTTTAATGTTTTCTCTTATCAGATGGTATGTGCAGTTACCTACACAGCAAGCTCATCAGTATCATGAATTAGAGACTCGTGGCCTCCCTCTGTCACCATCTCCTTTTCGTATGTCTTCTCTTGAAGAAGAGGAAACTGTAGTCAGAGATGAGAATTGTGCGTTGCCTTCACGCCTCCACCCGCAAGTAGCGCATAAGATTCAGGAATTAGTGTCACAGGGAGTAGGACAAGTGTATGCAGTAAGGAAGCAGCTAAGGTACAGGAGAAGCAGTGTTTTCTTTTACACTTATTCTTAACATTATGGGAACTTTACAGCAACTTTCCAGGACATATGCTATTAGAGGGATATAGTGTATTTCTTCTTATGTATAAACATTATTTTCAGCAAATGCTTGGCAAGCTTCATATAGTATTAATATAATTCTAAATACTCATTTAAGACACTACATCTTTGTCTGACTGGACTATTTCTACATGATAAATTTATTTTACTAGCTAAGGTCCTACTCTGTAACCCAAGCTGGCCTTTAATTCATTTACATAGCCCAGGTTGGCTTCCAGTTTTCAGCAGTCTTCCTAATCTCAGGTAACCAAGTGCTGGGATTATGAGTGTGAGCCACTAGTCCTGTAATGAATTGATTGACATAATACATATTTTAGAGACTTGTAGAGTCAGAAAGTTAAAAACCTAGGCTAACGTATTTATTTTAGATTATTTGAAATGAAATAGAATTTTATTATAAAATAATATGGGGAATAAATATGTTCAAAATAGAATATATACATGTATGAAGTTCTCAAAAAATTAAAATATTTGATTTTTTAAAAGATAACAAGCTAAACTATTTACTATAACAATCTGTAATGTTATAGTCAAGTATATATATGTGTGTGTTATGTATCACTACAATATTAATTATGCAAATTATCTTGAGTACATTAAATTTACTTCAAAATACTACAAATAAAAGTTTTATTAGACCAGGGGTGACAGTATATGCCTTTAATCTCAGCACTCGGGAGGCAAAAACAAGTGGATCTCTGTGAGTTCAAGGCCAGCCTGGTCTACAAAGCTAGTTCCAGGACAGCCAGGGATACACAGAAAAATCTGTCTTGAAAAAATAAAAGAAAAAAAAGTTTCATTAGATGATAAACTATCCAGATTAAGTATTATAATTATTATAATATATATAATATATATAATATATATATCACTATATTTGGTTTTTACAGACAGGGTTTCTCTGGATTGCTTTGGAGCCTGTCTTGGAAGTCTCTCTGTAGACCAGGCTGACCTCAAACTCATAGAGATCCACCTGCCTCTGCCTCCTTAGTGCTGGGATTAAAGACATGTGCCACCACTGCCTGGCTAACTATATCATTTTTCAACAACTTAGTAAAGATGATGTATTTACCCTCATTTTACACATGAGAAAATGGAAATTAAAAATTGCTAAATAATTGGGTTTGAAAGACAGAGCCAGAATGAAATCTGGGTCTAATACTACAGCCTATGTGTAATGTTGTAATTCTTTGTTCCTTCCGGTTATTGTGCAGTGAAATCTGAATAGCAAGATGAGTACTTATAAAAATTACTTTTTGTTTGTTTGTTTGAGATTGGGTCTCACTGGAAAGCCCTGGCTAGATTGGAACTCACTATGTAGATCAGGCCTTGAACTCATAGAAATCCACCTGCCTTTGCATCCTGAGTGCTGGGATCAAATATGGGCACAGCTGCACCCAACAGAAAGCATTACCTTTTAGCTACTTTATAACCTTTTTGTTTAGAAGCTTTAATATTTGTTTTCATTGAGGGCTGCAATCTACTTATTTCAAATTATTTAAAAAGAAGTTCAGTGAGAACAGAAAGTAATACAACTCTGCAGTTTGATCCAATAAATGTAACGCATAGAGCACACATATTGAATTGCAATTTATGTATTTATTTTCATGTAATTGTGTAGTAATGCTACCTTTCTTACAATATCTTCCCTTCCAATATCTTACTGTCTCACAGTATCAGAACTATCAAATTTCATGTAATATTAATTGATGCCTTTTGGAATCAGTGTAACATGTTTATATATATAATTTGGAAATAGGTCTGTGTTTTCTTACTTATTAAATAGGAATATAATTCAGGGCAACTTCAACCTATGAGTCTGCAGTTCCCTTATCTGTAAAGTGGGATTGATAATTATACCTGGTCAGATGATCATAGTAATAGTTAAAGGAAATACCTAAAGTGTGTTCAAAATTGTGTCTGATATGGTAAGCAGTAAAAACATTATAATGTTCAAACTGAGGATTGTGGTTCAAATTTAATTCATAAAAATGTCAAAGCTCAGTTGGGTAGTAGTGGTTTACGACTTTAGTCCCAGCACTTGGAAGGCAAACACCTTTCTTTAACCTGTATTAATAAATAGAAAGAAATCTAAAATGGCTAATATTTAATTATTTACAGAATTATTTACATAGATATGAATAATACTTTACAAAAGCTTATATTGAAAGAGAACCTTTCTTTCAATCTGTAAGTGTATCATTACAGTTACATTTTTATTTTATATCCTCTACAGGAAATTTGTGGAAAGAGAACTGTTCAAACCTGATGAGGTACCCGAAAGACATAATTTATCCTTTTTTCCAACTGTAAATGATATAAAAAATCATATCCATGAGGTACAGAAATCCTTGAGGACTGGAGAAGAGGCCTATAACTCAGAGACTATTCCAGCAACGGTATGATCACATCCACGTCTGTGTTCTTAGAGGCTCTCTCAGCTCCTATTAATACATCTGACAATACTGTAGCTCATAGTAATACTTGGTCTAGTAGAAAGGGGCTACTGTTCCATCATCTCAATTACTATGATTTAAGGAAACAGCTAGCTAATTTTCTGAAATATGAATACTACCAGCTCTCAGAAAATAACTTGACTGAATATTTCTTACCACTCTCACAAGGAAAAGAAACAGTAGATTTTCAAATCTGAGTATAACAAAGAAGAATCATTATTTTTTTTCTTACAAGAAATATCTCTTATTCAGTTTACAGACATTTATTGAGCACATACTGAGTATATCCCTTGCTCCCTTTTTAAAATAGATGGTTATGGTTAAGTAGTTCAGGTTCAGATGCACAAAGTGAGCTCTGTATGCCATATATGAATATCAATTTTTACCTCATAATTTTATATTGTAGTTTCTCTGTCAATGTTAGTAATTTCTGAGATAATTTTACCATAGTTGCCCAGAAATTAGTGATGATAATAGAGGAAGTGACTTAGGAGTTAAAATCTGCGTGGCACTAACCTTTGCATTCCTGACTTTTTACTTTCCAAGTTTTAATATCTGAACATTTTTGAATTGCATTTATTTTATATATATATATGGATGTTTTACTTACATGCCTGGGTCCCATGAAGGCCAGAAGAGGTGTGGGATCCCAGGATCTGGAGTTATAGGTGGTTGTGAGCCACCATTATGGGTTCTGGGAATTAACCCTGGGTCTTCTGGAAAATGAACCAGTGCTTAACTACTGAGCCATCTCTCCAGTCCTAGCTGGGATATTTTAAATACTAGACCTACTGGGATGGTTTCTGTTTGTTTGTTTTATATCCAAACTTAATTATTACTGTGCAGAATTCAAGAAATAAAATAGATTTCCCACCTATACTTCCCACCTATACTCCTATCCAAATTGTTGATATCTTAACTCACAGACCCTAACATAGTGAGACATACTTGAGCTTTGAGAATGTGAACAAGTAGAGAGTGATTACAGAACAAAACACAAGTGTAATGAAAATAAAATAGGAAGCTGGGGAGAGAGCTCATTCTGTAAGTGCTTCTCTCACAAACATGAAGATCGAAGTGTGATCCCCACCCAGAACCCACGTAAAAATGCTGAGTGTGGTAGGTGTGAACTTATAATCGCAATGCTAGGAAGGTGGGGACAGGAGGGGAGCTGGCTGACTGGTGAGTTCCAAGCCAATGAAAGATGCCATCTCAAAGGAAATAGACTCTGGCATTTACACACGTGTGCCCCCCCCCCACACACACACATATACAGAGGGGGGAAAAGGGAGGGAGGGAGGGAGGGAAGAAGGAGGGAAGGAGAGAGTAAAAAAAGAAAAGAAAATAGGACTGGCTAGATGATTTAGTAGGTAGTAAAGGTGCTTACCACCTAGCATGACTAGTATGACTACCTGGGACTGATCAGAACACACATGGTAGAAGGGAAGAACTGATTTCTAAAAATGGTCCTCTGATTTCCACATGTGTGCAAGGCATGTATGTGTGCATGAGACACAAAATAAGTAAATAAGTGTAAATTTTTAAAAGGAAATATGGTAGTTATATTAATGTTTTAAGAGATTTTCAATGTAACTACTTTGTTTTCACTAAAACAAATGTTCTCATTTCAGCTTCAGTGGACTACAGATAGTGGTAATATTCTCAGAGAGACTGTAACAGTTACATTTGCAGAAGGTAGGCTATATTGGATATTTTTTTAAAGATTTTATTTATTTATTATGTATACAACATTCTGCTTCCATATATATCTGCACACCAGAAGAGGACACCAGATCTCATTACAGATGGTTGTGAGCCACCATGTGGTTGCTGGGAATTGAACTCAGGACCTCTGGAAGAGCAGTCAGTGTTCTTAACCTCTGCGCCATCTCTCCAGCCCTAGATATTTTTATAATATAAAAATGAGTTGGTATTATATCTGGAAAGAACTTCAGCTATCTCATATCATTTAAAAAATTTTTTGTATGTGTGCTCGTATGTATAGGTGTATATGTATGCGTGAAGGTCAGAGGTCAATGTAAGTATTCTTCCATTACTCTCCATATCTGTATTTATTTATTTTGGAACTGGCTTTATCACTAAACCTGGAGCTCACTGTTTGAGCTGATCAGCAAGCCCCTGGTGTCTGCCCTCTCTGCTCCCCTAGTGCTGGCTTTACAGACACTCACAGCTATGCCTGGCGTTTACATGGGTGCTAGGGATCTGAACTCATGCCCTCATGCTTGCACATCAAACACTTTACTCACCAAGTCATGTCCTTGACTCATGTAATCAAATTTTATAGATAAGGAGACCTGACTCTAAAGAGGGAAAGAGTAGCTATGTTGGAATTTACCAAAAATATTTCTAGAACCTTTATGCTTCTTTGTGACCAAAAAAAAAAAAAAAAAAAAAATGTGTGTTGTGGAATAATAGGATCTAGCTATATATTTTAAGCTGGCCTCAAACTTGTGTTCTCCTGCCTCAGCCTCCTAAGTACTAGGAGTCTAAGCATGTGCCAGCATATCTGACTATAACGGAACTTTGAGACCATCTTAGCATAGTCTACTAGAAGAATGACCAGTGCCAGCACTAACTAGCACCTTGATTTGCAAACTGTTGTCTATTTTGAGTTGTTTGCTTTTCTCAGACAGGGTTTTTCTGTAGCCCTGGCTGTCCTGGAACTTGCTCTACAGACCAGGCTAGTCTCAAACTCAGAGATCCTCCTGTCTCTGCCTCGTGAGTGCTGGGTTGAAAGGTGTGTGCCACTGCCACCCAGCTGTCTCATGTTCTTAATTCCTATGTTCCTGAAATGTTTGAAGTTTCTTTTGTTTGTTTTTCTGTACTCTTTTACATGTGTTCTGTCTCCTGGAAATGTCTTCTGTCTTCATCTGTGTAGAAAATACTCTTCTCACTCAGAACAGTCTCTGGTTTTGACGTTTTGTTTTTGTTTTTTGTTTTTTCCGAGGCAGGGTTTCTCTGTAGTGTTTTGGAGGCTGTCCTGGAACTCACTCTGTAGACCAGGCTGACCTCAAACTCACAGAGATCTGCCTGCCTCTACCTCCCGAGTGCTGGGATTAAAGGCGTGCGCCACCACCGCCCGGCTGGTTTTGAGGTTTTTAAAGGAGCTCCTCATTACATTGCATTCACCTTTGTGCCTACTGTGCTAGGGCTGCTGTTGACACATTTGTAGCTTGGTTATTCAGGCTCTTCAGAGGGAAGGGTGATAGTTAATCAAACCAAGTTTCTAGAAGATAACGTCTGCTAAAGCGTTAACACTATAATCAATCTCCAATCAATTAATGGAGAACTTATGCAGAGTGTTTTCTGCTGCTTGTTACCTCCAAAGATTATTGTGGGAATTACCAATACGCAGTCAGGTAAAAATACAAGGGAATTTATTAGGGAAAAGCCTTACTTACAGAGCAACCTAGCCAGCCGGTGGGGCAACAGTAAGTACAGCAAGCCGAAGAGGGAATGGAAGAAGGGAAGCCACGTGAGCACCCTTACTCTTATACCTTCCCTACATCACCCTAGCAGGCATGGCTACAGTGTCCCCTACAAAAGGTAATGTCCTGGCTGTGTTAGTTCTTACAAAGATGCTCATTGGCATCACCTGTGCATTTTACTTTTTTTCATATTTCAATGCTCATTTTATTTATTTTTATTAATTTTTTTCATTTTACATACCAAACCACCAAACCCAGTTCCCCCTCCCTCCCCTTTACCCACTCCCAACTCCCCCGTTTCCATCTCCCCATTCACTTCTCAGAGGGGATAAGGCCTCCTTTGGGGAGTCAACAAAGTCTGACATACCAATTTGAGGCAGGACCAAGCCCAGTATCAAGGCTGAGCAAGGTATCCCATCATAGGGAATGGGCTCCAAAAAGCCAGTTCTTATGTACCCTTTTTGCCTTCTGTTGCTGTAATAAACTCCATGAGCCACAGCAATTGGGAGGAAAGGGTTTATTTTATCTTACAACTCCCAACTCCTGGGTCATGATGCATCTCTGAAGGAAATCTCTGCAGGAACTGAAGCACAGACCATGGAGGAACACTGATGGGCTCTTTATGGCTTGTTCATTCACCTTGGCTTTTTATACAACCTAGGACCACCTGTCCAGTGGTGGTACTGCCCATAGTGGTGAGAAGGGCTGGGCCTTCCCACATCAATTATTAATCCAAAAAATGTTCCACAGAAACTCCTACAGGCCAGTCTCATGGAGGAATGTGTTCAATTGAGGTTCCCTCTTCCCAGATAATTCTAGTTCATGTCAATTTGACAGAACAACAACAAACTAACCAGGACAGAAAGGAGTGGAGGGAAGGAAGGAGATGAATGGAGTTGAATCTAGAAATTCTTATTTTTATAGTTGTCAGAGAAGTTCTGATGATCTGACAGGGTCTAGAAACAGTGAACTAGATACCTGGTCTATTAGTTTGTCACTGTGTGTCTATGTTTCTGTGTGTACTTTGGCTTTGCTTCTTTGTTGTTGTTTTGAAACAGGGTCTCACTCTGTTCCCAGGCTGGTCTGGAATATTTAAGACTGGCCTCATGATAGTTCCCCTTTGATAGCCTCAAAAGTGCTAGGAATTACAAGCATGAAGCACCATGCTAGACTAGTTTGGAGTTATGCATTGATTGATTGATTGATTGATTGATTGATTGATTGATTGATTGATTTTGTGTAGCCCTGGCTGGCCTAGAACTCACTATGTAAACTAGGCTGGCCTCAGACTCACAAAGATCCACCTGCCTCTGCCTCAGCCTCCTATGTGTCACCATGCCTGGCTATGTGCTGATTTGTCCATTTGTGATCGCTTTGTTTGTTTGTTTTCAAACAGGGCATCAAGTAGCCCAGGCTGTCTTCAAACTTACTTCTATAGGCAAGAATTACCTTTTACTACTGGTCCTCCTGTGTCCACCTCCAGAATTAAGGGCCTATATGCATTTACCACCTTGCTTAGCTTATTGATAATTTTTTTAAAAATTTATTTATTAGTTCCAGTTAGGGAACAAGCTTGTTTCACATGTAAGTCCCTTCTCCCTCTCCCTCCCCTCACCCCCATCCTTCCTCCCCCATCCCCAGCCCACCCCCCACTCCATCTACCCACACTCCCCAGGCAGGGTAGGGCCCTCAACGGGGGCTCTGCAAAGTCCACCAAATCTTCCTGTTCTGTCCTGGGCCCTTCCCCATGTGTCCAGGGCCAGAGTGTAACCCTTCACGTGGGATGGGCTCTCAAAGTCCCTTCTTGCACCAGGGAAAAATACTAATCCACCACCAGAGGCTCCCTGGAGTGCAGAGGCCTCCTTATTGACATCCATGTTCAGGGGTCTGGATCAGTCTTGTACTGGCCTCCCCGACAGCATCTGGGGTCGATGTGCTCTCCCTTGTTCAGGCCAACTGTTCCTGTGGGTTTCTCCAACCTGGTACAGACCCCTTCGCTCTTCATTCCTCCTTCTCTTCAACTAAATTCCCGATTTCAGCTCAGTGTATATCTGTGGATGTCTGTCTCTGCTTCCATTATTGATGATTTTTTGAAGTCCTTTGCAAACCTTTGACTTTGTCTTGTCTTCTATTCTGATTCTTCTAGTAATGGTTGTTATAAAGTTCAAGAATAATAATTGTGTCTCTCTTCTGTTAATTTAGGAAATTCACTAGGAGAACCAGTTACCAGCAAAGTGGGAACGAGTCGGACACAGACTTCTTTGTCTCCAGAGCCATTTCACTTGGTCTCCCCACTTTCTTCATTTCAGCCCAAAATCTTCTCACACTTACAGGTAGGCACCCCTTAAACAGCTAAATCTGGGTATCTTCCTCTTCCAAAATTCCTCTTATAAGGATTTCAGAGATTTGCAGTGAAATTACAATAATGGCCATATATTTATTTATTATTAATTTTCTAATCCTTTGTTGTAGACAGAAGTTTCTGTCCCACCTTCCAGTTCCTAAATAACCGACACAGAGGCTTAATATTAATTATAAATGCTTGGCTGGTAGCTCAGGCTTATTACTAACTCTTACAGTGTAAATCAACCCATTTCTATTCATCTATGTGCTACCCAATGCTCGTGGCATTTACCTCTTTAGTATTTCTTGCTTACTCTTCCTATGGGTGGTGACTCTCTCTCTTGACTCTGTCCTCTTTCTTCCCAGTGTGCTTAGTTTGGTTTTCCTGCCTAAACTTTCCTGCCTGGCTACCATCCAGTCAGCCTTTTATTAAGCTAATCTGAGTGACAAATCTTCACAGTGTACAAAAGGATTACTCTACAGCACTTTGTGTCTTGATATAAGATGATAATTCAGATAATATGTTTTGAAAAATTTGAGGGAGACATGACTACAGTAAAGGTTTGTTGTACTACTTTTCCTTGGTCCTTATTTCCATCTCCATGGAATATTTGTTACTTTGTGTGTTCCAATTTTTTTAGTCAAAAGAATATCCTACGAGAATGTCATACATAGTAAATAAAAATATTGTGATATAACTCTTTTCTCTTTGGAAGGGTCTGAAGTTACAGCCAAGCCTCTCCCCTCTTGATGGATCCCAAGCTCTGGTATCAGAAAGCAGCCATCTATCCTCCAGTCCTTCAAGACTTGTGGATACAGCAGGAAATACTGTAGTGAATAGTCATTCTCTACCGCATGCTCAGAGTCACAGCCTTCCAGCAGATCCATGCCCAACACAGAACAACAGTGCTGCTGTCATTGGGAGTCTCCCAGAGTCAGTTCAGAATCTGGTTGTAATGGATCAGCTGGTGGAAGTTGAAGATGTTGAGGATGCAGGGAATCTGGAAGGAAGTGTAAACAGAATTCTGTTGGGAGATGTGCAAACCATTCCAATACGAATCATAGACAGTCATCCAACTCTTAGTAAGTGACCATCCATTTGTGATTCTTTTTAATCTTTTACAACTTGATATCAGTACATCAAACAACAGAAAAAGCTGTAATTTCTACTAATGGGTTTATAATATTGTAACGTTCAAACAAAATTATGAGAGGACTGGGGCTGGAGAGATGGCTCAGCAGTTAAGAGCCCTGGATGCTCTTCTGAAGGCTGGGTTCAATTCCCAGCATCCACATGGCAGCTTACAACTGTCTGTAATTCCAAGATCTGACACTGTCACACAGACATACATACATGCAGGCAAAACATCAATGCACATAAAAAAAATCTAAAAATTATTAAGAGAGGAAAAGAGATTTCATTAACCTAATATTTTTCTTATTATTTCTAATTATTTAGCTATAATGAAATTATTCATTGTTTATCCCAGCACTTAGAAGGCTTAGGCAGAAGGGTTGCACATTCAAGGACAGCCTGGCCTACAAACACGTCCTATACCAGCCTGAGCAATTTAGCAAGATCCTATCTCAAAACAAAAATAGGGCTGGAATGCTAGAGTACTTTACTGCCTAGTAGGTTCTAAGAACTGGGTTCAGTCCCCAGTGCAGACAGGAAATGAAGCAAAGGGAAATTATTCATTTTTAATATTTTTTATTTCTTTTGTTTTGAGACAAGAGTCTCACTTTGTAGCTCTGGCTCTATGTAGACCAGGCTGGCCTTGAACTCATGTGCACCAGCATCCCCGGCCAGATTTATTTACCTCTGTATATGTATGTGTACCACATGTATTCCTGGTGCCCAGGGAGGGCGGAGGAGGGTATTGGATCTCCTAGAACTGAAGTTACAGATGGTTGTAAATCACCATGTGGGTGCTGGAAATTGAACCCAGGCACTCTGCAAGAACAAGTTCTCTTAATCTCTGAGCCATCTTCTTAACCCCAAAACTTCATTTCTTTTTCTTTTGTTTTTTTTTGTTTTTGTTTTTGTTTTCCTAGACAAGATTTCTCTGTATAGCAGTCCTGGCTATCCTAGAATTTGCTCTGTAGACCAGGCTGGCCTCAAACTCGCAGAGATCTACGTGCCTCTGCATCCTGAGTGCTGCTTGCCACTGCCTGGTGAGAGAACTTTTTGTAACTACAGAGTAATATTATAGATGAGGAGAAAAATGAATATATGTAAGTTTATTGTTATAACACATGAGAAAGTTAGCTATATTCCCATTCTACAGATAGAGAAACCAAGGTTCAGGGAGGTTAAGCAATTTCCTCGTGCTCACATTTAGTAAGTGACAGAGGAGGGAAGTAAGCCCAGGTATTGTATTTCTTGCCTTCTAACATGCTTTCTCCCACTGTGTTGTCACATAGTATTTGTGGGAATATTAATTCAAATTGCTTTCAAAGAAATACTTTTTTAATCCAGATTTGTACGATTTATCATAATCTGATAATCTGAGGGCTTACTTCACTAGGAAGTTGTGGGGATCTTCTTTCCCCCTTGGCCTGTTGGTTACCAGGTCGAGAGGGAAAAGAAGCAGAAAGGGTGATAGAAAGCTTTGGTGGCCAGTGAGCATCGTTGGGGGGAGGCCTCTGGGAGACAGATTTTGGTGAATCAGCTCAACTTTATTCCAGAATATAAAGAATATATAGGAGTGGGGAGCCTGGGGAAAAGCCCTAATTTGCATTAAGTGTCATGCTCCTATCACATGGCTTTGTATGTGGCAGTGAGTTGCTATAGCAGAGCTCCTAGCTATGGATGGAGGTTCTGTTCTGCCTAGTCCTGCAGCCATCCAGTCCCAAATAAACACACAGAGGCTTATGTTAATCACAAACTGTTTGGCCAATGGCTTAGGCTTCCTATTGGCTAGCTCACTCTTAATTAATTATTAACCAATAATTGTTAATCTAGGTATTTCCACATGGCCTTATCTTACCAGAGAATGCCCAGAGTCCTATCTTCCTGGTAGCTATGTGGTATCTCACTGGTGGCTCCTCTGCCTTTCTATTCCCGGAATTCTCCTAGTCTGATAGCCTCACCTATACTTCCTGCCTGGCTACTGACCAATCAGCATTTTATTAAACTAATAAGAGTAACATATATTCACAGAATACAGAAGGACTTCCCCCATCACCTAGCACAAGTCTTCTTAGCAGGGATCTGTGTCTAGAGTCAAGCTAAAGATGAATCAGGCATCTGGTATTAGAGACAGCTTTTAGATAAGGTCAGTCCTCTAGGCCCAGGGACATTCTCCAGATAAGGGCAGGTAGAGAGCAGGAAGCCTTGCTTGAGGGAGGGAGCTCCATGTTGCTGAGCTATTGAGATAAGCTCCATGCCATGGCAGACTTCAACCTCTGACCAGTCAGCAATGTATTCCACTAGGATGTGGGCTCTTAGAGTCATTCAAATCTGTCTTCTGTGGGTCCCCATGTCACTGACTGAACTCCAGTATAGTTGAGCATACCTGTAACAGTATTAATGTGTTCAGTACATTGCTAAACAAGTCACAGTCTCTAGCTCTGCTTTCTAAGAGCAACTGATAAAGAGTCTTGATAAAGTATGATGAAGATTTATTCCAGGTGATGTGGTCCATGCCTTTAGTCCCAGCACTGATCTCTAGGTTCAAGGCCAGCATGGTCTATATAATGAAACCCCATCTCAAAAACAAAACAAACAAAAAGATGAAGATGCTAGACATTGCATTGACCAGTTGACAGTATTACGACTGGTGTGCTGGGTCTCCAACCATGTGGCTGTAAGCACCATGGAGCATGCGTAGGTGTTCTCAAGTGTTTTAGATGAACAAACACATAGTTCACATTGAGGCAGAGCCATCATTTTAAGATGCACCACTGTGTTTTCAGATATGCCAAGTATTTTTTCTCAATTTTACCATAACCCTTTTCTAAACCATGGTATGTTTGAGTTTATTCTAAATTCAGACTGTTATTATTTTTAAAGCTAAAGTCTGATGTAGGCCAGGCTGGCCTAAAGTTGTCTGTGTTACTAAAATTGATCTTGAATTCCTGACCCTCTGCCTTCAACAGTCTAATGCTGGGATTACAGGTATACACCATTTTGCCTGGCTTTACATTTACATAATTTTAAAGACCATGGTGTCATAAAATATACTAACCCTTTTGGGTTTTTGTTTGGTTTTAAAGTTGAAGAAAATCTAGAAGATACTCTGTCTGTGAACCAAGTTAAACAAGAACCCAAAGAGCCAACACTGTCTATAGGAGCAAAAACTTTTCTGGACTGTAAAAAAGTATCTGCTACACAAAAATTTTAAAGCTTTTCAGAATTCACAGCTCTGGTCCCTTCTGATGTCTTAGAAGGTGAAGATTGCCAGGGTGTGGCATGTCAGTCACTGGACTGGAACTGAGCGATGAGCAGCTTTGACTTAAAAACTTGAATATTTGTTGTCAATTCCATATTTGTATTTTCCTTAAGAAATATTTTACTTTATTTTGTATTCCTATTTTTTATTATTCAGTAACACAAATGTTTCAAAAGATCATCTGAACTTCACAGTAATTTAGTGTGAACACAAATACCCAATGTAGGTTCTTACAAGACAAAAAAAGGCCAGCAATAAGCTAGGCAGTGGTGGCTCACAACTTTAATCCTAGCACTCAGGAGGCAGTGGCAGATGGATCTCTGTGAGTTTGAGGCCAGCCTGGTCTACAAGAGCGAGTTCCAGGACAGCAGAGCTACACAGAGAAACCCTGTCTCAAAACCCTCCCTTCCCCCCAAAGAGGCCAACAATAAAAGCAGTGTGTGAGTGCATGTGTAGGTGTGTCAGAAAATTTAGAATTGTGAGGAGAGTTTTGATTAGTCTACAGGTGAGAGAATATTTGTCATCTGTTGTATTTGAAAGATAGAGCAATAGATTTATATGGTAACACTGAGCCTCCAATCACATCCCCATAGATTTACATGGTAGCACAGATCTGCCAGTCACATCCCTAGACACTGCATGTGCAGTTTATTCTCGAGGCTTTATATCTATAACTAAATGAATGGAACTAATGGTCATCTGTAAGAAATTTCAATGACTTGGAAAGTATTGAAAAGTTTAAATTGAATTAATCAGATAAATAACACAAATAAATGTATTTTATATGGGATTAGAGATAAATCCCAGTTTAGGAATAGAAAGAAGGCAAATTCAGAGAATGGGGGAAAATGTTCTAATTCCCCACTATTTACAGATCATTTGGGGGAACTTGGTGGTAGCAAAATTTTTGTTTTTTTTATAAAGATTCAGTTTTTGCCTAGAAAATAATTTAAATAACATTTAAATTTTTTCTATACTAGAGGTTTTCTTATTAAATTGTCAGTATTGCAATTTATGTATTTCAAGATATATATATATATATATAGATATATATATATATACTTTAAAATTTAGTTCATATTTAAAACTTGAAAATGTCTGATCTGATATTTGGCTCATTAAATAAGTATATTTATACCTAGTCCCAAATAACTAGTAATCAGTATGTTCATTATAAGCTTTTTTAAAAAATAAAAGTTTGAATAGAAATTTCAAATATAACTGTTATGACATTAACTTAGCTAAGTGTAGTAGTGCTCACTTGTAATTCCAGTACTCAGGAGGTGGTGACATTGGATTGTAAATTCAAGTCTAGCCTGGGCTACATAGCAAGACCCTACTAAAAAAGAAAGAAGGAATCACCTAGAAAATTTTTTTCTCGACGCTCATTTATGAGTGTATTTAAATTTAATTTTTTAAAAAAATAAGAATTTCAAGTGGATATTAAGGTTTAATATTAAAGCATGAATAATATAATGTGAAATTTGACCTCAGTACTTCACATGGCTATCAATTGCTTTTGACTTTTCTAAGTCCAGTCTCCCATTTTTACTCACTTTGTTTTAGGCCCATGATTTGTATCTAAGTATAAAACACTGTTGTTTTAGAAATAGGTGAAACTCTAAAACTCATCATTTCTACATCTATATCCTAGTCAATGTAAAGTTTATTATTTATCTTATTCACTGCAAATTTCATGTCTAATTATATATATAATTGTTAGTAAGAACTGCATGTCCTTTTCTTGAGAACTGAGGCAGGCTGTTAAATCTGAACATGTTATACTAAGTTCAACTTAAAACCCAAGTTCCCTTAGTCTATGTGTACGTAAGAGGAATGAGATTAAGATAGTATGTACTTAGAATGGTATTATAGGTAATACTCTTTTGTTATCCTTGTTATAGAAACTGTTTTTCAAGAACTAATAGGTTTTCACCTTCCAATAATAATTAAGGTTTATTATTACATATTTCATTCATTGAGACATATTCTTGGGAAGACATTCCTTTTTGATGGTGAATTGCTAAGGAAAAATGCTTGTTAAAAAATAAACTAGCCAGTTTCCTGTGAGGATGAGAAATAGCAGAGGATTCGGTGCTTAATGTGTAATCACGAGCAAACAGTTAAAATATATTTCTAAGCCTGGCAGTGGTGGCTCACGCCTTTAATCTCAGCACTCAGAGGCAGAAGTGGGTGGATCTCTGTGAGTTTGAGGCCAGCCTGGTTTACATAATGAGTCCCAAGACAACCAGGGCTGTTACAAAGAGAAACCCTGTCTTGAAAACAACAAAACAACTCTGCGTGCGTGCGTGCGTGCGTGCGTGCGTGCGTGTGTGTTTCTGTCACTTCATCCTAGTAGTGGTGCACAAAGACCAACCTGGTCTATATATAGAGTTCCAGGACAGCTAGAGTTACAAAATGAAACCCTGTCTTGGAAAAAAAAAAAAAAGAATATATATATATATATTTCTGTCACTTCATTTTTGTATGAATGGGTCTTCTGTTAATATTATCACGAGGACAGAAAGTTACATATATTCTTCCCACAACAAAAACAAAACAGAAAACTGAACACTTAAATAACTAATTGTATGTTCTTGTTTTTTAGGTAGAAACTGGAACTATTAATATTTTTGTGTATTTAAATAGTAGTTATTTAAAAATGGTGTCTGAAATGAGTTTAAAAATTCATTTGTCGTCTATAAACACATGTGTTGTCACAACATGTCAGTGCTGGCTAAAGGTGCTTAACATCAATTTTTGAAAACTATGTTTACATATTTAAATGTGTAATTCTTTGTAAATGTACCAGATCTTAAAAACAAGTGTATAAATAAATCAGTATTTATATTTGGAATTCTCTTAACAACTCCACAGCAAAATTTGACAAACGTTCTTTGGTTCATGTATTTGCAGAAGTAGGGTGGACATTTAAAATAAGCAGTTAGAGATTTCATAATCAAAATTCATATTAATATAGTGAATACATATGTTTACAAATAAATATTCTTAGGGAAAAAAAAGGAAAAAAAGGAAATTTCATAATCACTGGTTGGCTTGTTTTTTTTGTAGTTTTCATGTTCCAAATTTGCAAGTAAACTTTGTATATACAGCAGTAAATTACAGATAAAGAGCTACAACAGACTGCCCTCAGTAGCCATTTTCTATGTAAGCAGCTAATGGACTTAAAAAGCTTTAACATCTTATGCAAAGTAAATGTTTCCTGACCACCACAGGAGTGATAGGAAGCATAAGCTTTGGGGTCTGGTCCTTTGAAGTTTTTAACTCTGAGGCCTCCAGCAGTGCTTCATCTTCTTTCTATCTGTCAGACTATGTACTTAATCATGTGGGTATGAGGCAGTGTTTACTTTATACCAGGTTTGTAAAGAGGTTTTAAAATGTGTGTATATATTGTAACTTAATGTACAGTGTTCTTGTTATAATGTAATTTTTTCCATTAAAAAATTCTGGTTTTTTCTTATGTGTTAGTCTTTGAAGATATGCTTCTTCTAGTGATAATGAAAGTTGTGTTCACCTTAAATAAGATGATGATAAATGCTTTAGTATCTGAGAATTTTAACTAGAGATTTATGGCAGTTTGAAGCCTGATTGCTTTTAAGGATTATCTACCAATAGCATATATATACATGCTACATATGTGTGTGTATATATATGTAGCATGTATATAAAAATGTGTGTGTGTGTGTGTGTGTGTGTGTGTGTGTGTGTGTGGCAGAGAGAGAGAGAGAGACAGAGACAGAGACAGAGAGAGAGACAGAGAGACAGAGAAATGGCTTGATGTGATGCCCTGAGTTCAATCCCCCAAAACAGATGTAAAAGTGGAAGAAGTGAGCCAACTGCACAAAGTTGTCCTATGACCTCCACACTTGTATGCCCACACAATAATAATTTACAGAACAAAACAAAAATCTAAAGGCTAGCAATATGGCCACTTGCCATTAACCCTGATCACACTGATTTAGATTCCCTGAACCCACAAGGAAGGGGTGTACTGACTGCTTCAGGTTGTCCTCTGACTATCTCTAGCCATGTGTGATGTGGGACTTACACAGCTACTACATACATGGGTAATACATAAGTGTTATCAAAATTGTAGTAGAACAGCTTGTATGAAGAGATACAAGTAATTTTTTGGCTCTACATTTGGTACAGTATTTTCCAGCACTGCTTCATATATTTAGAGTGATAGCAGGATTACGTTATTAAAAGAGAAAGAAAGATCATTAACCTTTGTCCCTGTCTGGCTTTTTCTACTCTGCCTTATCTTTAGAACAACAGAAAATCTTAGGCTTGGGAGATGCCTCAGTTGAGCAAGTACTTGCTATAGGTGTGAGGATTGGAATTTAGCTCCCCATAACATACATACACACACACACACACACACACACACACACACACACAATACATATAATAATAAATTAACTAGTAAAAGCAACAAAAGGAAGAAAAATCTAATTCAGAGCATGCATAAAAAGTGAAGATGGTTGTGGATAGCTAATGAATAGTCTTAGTGCATTACCACCACGATTCTGCTTGGGGTTTACTTGTGTTCATAAACCTAGTATTAATCACTGTTGTAATTTTTAAAAAGCAGCTTGAGAGAGAAAGATGCCATACAACAGAGTTCAAGAGAAGGGATTTTTTTTTATTATGGGAAACGGGAATGGGAAGACTGGCCTCCAGGTAAAGGAGCAGCTGGATAGAGGAAAGAGAGGCAGAGACAGAGATAGAGAGAGGGAGAGAAAGAGAAGGATAGGAGGTGGACAGGGCCCTTTTAAAAGGGAACATAGTGAATGTGCACAGGTAGTGCTCTTAGTGACTGCAGCTGAGGGCATATCCCATCAGAACTCCAAGAGCAGGCCAGTACAGATGCCTGAATACTAACAGTCAGTATGTTTTTCTGCAATCATGGTTAACAGTGATGAGGATTTACTGAGAGCTAGATACTTTGACTTGTTGGCTGTAGAATGGTGAGCAATCCAAACCATGGAGAAGAATAGTGTAGGCAGATGGACACACAATCATCTACTGCAGTGAAGTGTTATTATAAGTACTGTTGATCTAATTAAATTAAGCACAGAAAATTAGAGAGGGAATAACAGATTAAAACAGCAGGCAACTGTGAAAGACTAACTCCCAAATTCATTTTTCTCTGTCCATTCCATAATTATTGTGTCAAAAAGTTGCCTGTTCTTAGTCAAGCCCTCCCAGTGAGACTAGTCATTGTTTGTTTGTTTGCTCGTTTTTCAAAACAGCATTTCTCTGTGTAGTCTTGGCTGTCCTAGAACTCAGTCTATGGACCAGGCTGGCCTCGAACTAAGAGATCTGCATGTCTCTGCCTCCCGGGATTAAAGGTGTCCATCCCACCGCCTGGTGAGACTGTTCTTAAACCAGATCCTGGTGCTACAGAGTTGGCTCAGTGGGTGAAGTGATGGGATAAGTTCATTTGGGTTGACCTCTGATTTCTTATTTTTAATTGAAAACATCAGATGCTAAGTTTCATTTTTGAGTGATCCCTTCCTTACAGAGAAATAGCATAGACAGGGGATAGAAGTGGGTGGAGATAGAGGAAAGGAGAAAAGTTGGTCAAAGGTACAAAATTGCACTTGTATAGGATGATCAACTCAGAAATGAGATGAGCAACATGAAGTTTATTCTTAGTAATATTGTATACTGTGGAATTGCTAAGAGAGTAGATCTGGGTACTCATACATACCAGAAAGAAGACCAGGGTTGGCTCAGTGGCTTAGCTAGTCAAGGCACTCACTGCCAGCTGAGGACCTGAGGTTCCAACCCTACAACCCACATGGTAGACCTCTGACCTCGATGTGTGTGCTTTGGTGTAGCATGCACACACACACACATACACACACACACACACACACACACACACACTTTCATGGGCACACACACATACACAACACACACCCTTTTTTTACAAAAATGAAGTGAGGAAAACCCTGTCTCAAAAAAACCCCCAAAAACTAAAAAAAAAAAAAAAAAAAAAAAAAAAAAAAAAAAAAAAAATTAAGGAAGAGGAGGGGGAGGAAGGGAAGAAAAGGAGTCAAAGCAAGTATAGTAAAATATGTGTAAATATGTGTATGCACCGACAATGAGAATTCTTAAAACCCAGTTATCAACTGATTGAAAACCTTTGCTAGAGTCTGTATTATGAATGAAACTTCTGTTCCCCTGCTCTTCTACATCATACACAGATGAGGGTGGTTTTGCAGGTTACCCTGCTTGGACACCCTTGGGGGAGGGGGTGAGGAGATGCAGGCACTGGGAGTCAGTGAGTAGCAGAGCATGCTGCAGACTCGTTTATTAAGGAAGTTAGACCTGCCTTTATGCCCCCTCCCAAGGTCCTATTGGCTCAGGTGCTGACTCTGCTGCATTGTCCTTTCCTTATTGGTGTCTCTGGGTCAGGTGTCTCTTTGTCAGCAGTCTCTGGGTGTAGAGGCAGGCTTGGCTCAGAGAGAAAATGCCTGCCACACATGCTCATGCAGGTTGGCCTGGTCACTTGGGCAGGGCGACTCTGACTTGGGAAGGCTGGCTGAGGTTTCTCCTACAGGTGGGTGTAAGCTTGGATGGTCAGAAAGCTACTCCTCAAATGGACATACTTTGGACATAGGTAATTTAAAAAATCCATATAAATAGAATTTTTAAATATTTGTTTATGTGTATGTATGTGTGCCTGAGTATATGTATGTACACCAAATGCACCATGGGCAAAGGTCAGAAGAGACCGTCAGGTACCCTGGAACTGTAGATACAGGTGTCTGTGAGCCCATGTATGAGCTGGGAACAAAACACCAGGTCTCAGTGAGAGTAGCTAGTGCTATTAACTACTGAGTTATCTCTCCAGCCCCCATTTATAAATGCTTTTTAAAATTTGCCAGGTGGTGCCTGCCTTTAATGCTAGCACTTGGGAGATAGAGTCAGGAGGATCTCTGTGAGTTTGAGGTCAGCCTGGTCTACAGAGTTTCAGGACAGCCAGGGCTTCACAGAGAAACCCTGTCTCAAAAAAACCAATGTGTCTGTGTGTGACTTAGTGCATATGGGTATCCAGGTGGAAGTAAATATAAAGTTAAAAAAAAAAAAACAACTAGAAAGGAATCCCTGAGACTGGAATAAAAGAAGCTTTAAGAGGGGGGGGGGAAGACAATAGAACACAATTGAAATGGGGAGACTGGGAACCAAAGGGTACTGGTGGGAAGTGTGTGCAGGAAGACAAGAGGAAGAAGAGGGGGAAGCCAACCAAATGAAATATATAGGAAAGTCCTATCCTTATTACTTTGTAAACAAATTTGTAAAAAATAAAACCTAAGGGCTGGAGGGATGGCTCAGTGGTTAAGAGTATATACTGCTCTTATAGGTATGAGTTCAGGCCCAGCACCCACATGGTAGCTCACAGCTATCCACAACCTCAATTCCAGGCTATCTGATGCCTTGGGACTGCCAACGTCTGAGGGCACATTGAACACAAGCATACAATGTGTGGCATTTAAGGTAACATGTCTGTTGATTATAGTAGTAATCCTTTATTCATGAAGTCCTTATTTCCATGGAAATGATGAGATCATTTTAATTTTTAACAATTCTAGAGTTAACATTTCCATCAGGTCTTTTGACTGTGGTAGTGAACACAGAAGCTATAGCTTTGCTCATTTCTTTAAAACCTCTGAAGGCTGCATAGATGATGAAAAGATTACAAATTTCATTTAGTTGCAACTTTTGGCTATGTGCTATTTTTATTTTTCCCAAGTGTATCTTAAAATTTTATATCAGGTAATTCCTTTGATTCTTTCTGTACCCTGCAGCTAAGAGTATTTTCATAAGAAGTAAACTCTTAGAGAAAATGCATCAGTGAATACTGGTGGACACATGGTTTGAGATGTGCGGTGGCTGTGAGTTAGTAGGAGGAGCAGAGAGCAAGTCCTGGCGTTTACTTAGCTGAGTGGCCCTAAGGTCACTTCCACTCCTGCCTCTCCAGTCATCTGCAGCAAGGATGAATGTTGGTGGAGTTTCTCTCCGTCTCAGCAGCCGCTCCCAAATAACTGTTCAGAGACTTGTTGTTAATTATAAATGTTCAGCCAATAGCTAGGACTGGTTACCAGCTAAATCTTACATTTCAAATTAACCCATATTTCTTCCTTCTTTCCTTCCTTCCTTCCTTCCTTCCTTCCTTCCTTCCTTCCTTCCTTCCTTCCTTCCTTCCTTCCTTCCTTCCTTCCTTCCTTCCTTCCTTCCTTCCTTCCTTCCTTCCTTTCTTGCTTCCTTTCCTCTGAATTAACCCATATTTCTTTCTTTCTTTCTTTCTTTCTTTCTTTCTTTTTTTTTAATTAACCCATATTTCTTATCTACCCTCTGCCACATGGCTGTACCTTCTTTCAATAAGGCACATTCATTGCTTCTCTCCGAGTCTCTCTGGACTCCCAAGACTCCCCCCTTCTTCCTCCT